TGATTGGCTTGAAAAGGCGGTCTTTTGCTGCGAGTCTTTTGCGAGAGGAACCTGCCAATATCCTTTAGTTAAATCAAACTTCGAGAACCATTTCTTTGTTCCCACTTCGGCAAACAAGTGATCAGTTCTGGGTATAGGTTCTGCATCAGATACCAGAACATTGTTTATACGGCGAAAGTCTATACAGGCCCTGTAGCCATTGTCTGGCTTTTTGACTAGTACCAAAGGAGAATTATATGGTGACTCTGAGGGTTCTATAATGCCAAGTTGCAACATGTCTTGCACTTCCTTTTCAACGACTTCCTTCATAGAGAATGGCAATGGGTATTGTGGGGTGTTAACTGGTTCTGAACTGGTCGTTTGTAACCGACACTCCACAAGGTTTGTTTTACCTGGGATCTCCGAGAATACGTCTTCGTAGGTACTTAAGATGTCCCGTATCTCCACCCGCTGTCGCTCCCCGATTTCATCTCCAAGCTTTATGGAGTCAATACCGCAGCTACCCTGTACTTTGAAAGTTGGTAGTGGTTTCTCAGACTCCTCTTCCTCCAGAACGACAAAAGATGATGTCTGAGGAAGCTGTTCTTCACGGCGTTCTTCATACTTTTTCAGCATGTTTATGTGGAAAAGTTTTTTGCTGTGTCCAAGGTCCAGCCAGTAGTCATAGTCGTTTTTCTTTTCTATGACTGGAAACGGCCCTTTCCAATGCATCAATAACTTGTTGTTGCTTGTGGGAAGCAAGATCAATGCACGGTCACCAGCTTTCAGGTCCCGTTGCTTGCTGTGGCGGTCGTAATACCTTTTCTGCGACACCTGTGCTCGGCTCAGGTTTTGTCGTACCAGCTCTAGTGTCTTCTCAATTCGCTCTCTTAAATCCAGGACATATCCGTACGTCGTCTTAAGTTCTTCGTTCTCCTGATCATGAGTCCATAGCTCTTTCAGGATGCTCAGAGGTCCTCGAATATGTCGGCCATAAATAAGTTCAAATGGTGAGAACCCGGAGCTTGCTTGTGGGGCTTCACGATAAGCAAACAAAAGAGGTGCTAGCAAGCGATCCCAACATTTAGGCTGTTCTTGAACCATTTTGCGGAGCATTTGCTTGAGTGTTCCATTAAACCTCTCTACCATCCCGTTGCACATAGGATGGTATGGAGTGCAGCTAAGATGCTTGACTGCCAGTAGTTCATTCACCTCCTTCATTAGATCTGAGGTAAAGCACGATGCCTGATCAGCCAAGACTTCTCGTGGAAAACCAATGCGAGAAAACATCTCGACAAGTCCCTCGGCCACTGTAGCTGAGTCAATTGCTGTCAAAGGCACTGCATCAGGGTAGCGAGTGGCGAAATCCACAAGAGTCAAAATATACCGATGGCCTTTTGCCGAGGCTGGAGTTATCGGTCCAATGATGTCGACCGCCACACGTTCAAAAGGGGTGTCGATCAACGGCATACGCCCTAGAGGCACCTTGCCCACCTTGCCTTTCGGTAAAGTCCTTTGTCAGGCGTCACATGATCGGACATATCTGCGGATATCTTCTTGTACCCCGGGCCAGTAGAAGGCGTCCAGAACTCGATCTATTGTTTTTTTTACACCCTGATGGCCTGACATGACATTTTCATGAGCCAAACGTAACACTTGGCCTCTCAGGGACTTCGGGACTATGGCTTGTTCAATGATCTTACCAGGGGACAGGAAGTATTGTCGGTAAAGAATACCATTCTTGGCTACGAAAGAAAAAGATGTCGAGCCCTTTCTAACAAACTTCTTACCCACTCTGGCTCTGCAGATGTCAAGCGTCTGGTCTTTTTCTTGTTCTTCGCGAAACATTTTGCGAGACATCTGGCCAGGGAGCCCAACAGAGATGGCCCTTCGCGAACTATTGAGACGTGCGGCACCAACCAGTTGAGAATTTGGGTGGTTACCTTCGTCCGCAGAATGAACTTTTTTCTTAATGAATTGATCTTGAGAAAGTTTCCGCGAAACGTCGGGGTCATTGGCGTCACGGGCCCCCGGTACGTTCCCAACTATGACGTCATACAGTGGCGACGGCATACACTTGACGATGGCCATGCCGGAAAAGTATGGAGATCTGATACGTATCTCCGCCTCAGGGGTTACGATGGTGCTGCCATCAGCCAACCACAACGTCGCGGTAGTGCCAGTTAGTGCTTCATCAGGTACTAATGACCGGCGTACTACCAACGTGTTGCTTCCGGTGTCCCTTAGGACTCGAACAATCTGTCCATTCACTTCCCCTGGTAACACTGGCATGGGACGTTTCTTACATTGCGCTTGCGTCTTCACCGTGCCCATAACATTGTCGTCTCGGTCCGAGTCGTCGCCATCAATCATGGATTGTTGTGGACCGGTCTCTTCTTTGGGTAGCATTAAACAAGATGTAGTTGATTTCGAAGTGCCAGTCATTTTCTGACAGCCCTTCACATCATGCCCCCACTTACGGCAGTTTGTACAAAATACTTGTTTAGGTTTACTTCGACAGTCAGAAGCCTTGTGCCCCTTACGGCCACAAACAAAACATTGCATCTCTGCTCTTGGGCTTGAAATCAATTTAGCCTTCCCAGTTGTGTCCTCACTCTTATTCTGAACTATTAATAAGTTCTTCAATCTCTTTGCCTCTATATATATATCAGCTGCCTCTGCCATGGCTTCCAGAGTCTTGCAGTTCTTCTCCCGTAAGAAGAGCGCCAGCTGACTACTGCAGTTCGCCATGAATTGTTCGGCTACAATCAAGTCACGGACTGAATCGAAATTCCTCTCTGTCTGAGACATTTCTATCCACCTGTCAAAGAAACTTTGGAGTCTCGTGGCATACTGTTTTCCAGTTTCGCCGTCTTCAGGCTTGCTTTTCCGGAATTTCTCACGGTAGCCATCAGCCGTGAAGCGAAAACGCTGGAGCAGTGCCAATTTGACTTCGTCGTATGACAGGGAATCGTTCGGTGACAACCGTCCAAATACCTTCAGAGCCTCTCCGCCAAGGCACAAACTAAGAGCCGTGGCCCACTTTTCCCGTGGCCAATCTTGACCTGTCGCCACTCTCTCAAACCTTTTCAGGTAGGCGTCAAGGTCGTCTCTGTCCTCGTTGAAAACGGGTATAAAGTTATGCGGGTTCACTACCATAGGCGCGTTCCTTTGGTTGCCCGTGTCAGCCACCGTAGGCTGACCGACACCGGCCTCAGCTACTCTCAGGCGCAGTTGCAGCGTCCTCTCTTCTACTTCCAAGTGTCGCTGGCTTGCTTCTCGGGTTTGGTTCTCCGTTTTTGCTACTTCAAGACGTAGCTGTAAATTGCGGCCTTCCAGCTCCAACTGTTCTTTCTTCGCGTCTCTCTCCGCGGCTCGTTCATCGCGCTCACGCGCTTCTCGTGCGTCAAACCAAGCCTGCAATTCTGCTCCCTCCAACCCCATGCGTTCTGCCAGCGCCATCAACTCTCGCGAGCCCATTTTACTTTTTTAGTTAGCCTTACTCAAATCTACTTTTTAGTGGCAAACACTCACGTCCTGTCGTAGCGGACGCCAATTTGTGACAGGTTCAGTAAATAAAGCCAGTCGAGCTAGCTGTGAAACGTTAATCTCTCACGAGAAAAGGAAGTGAGCGTTTGATTTGCAAAAAAAATTATACTTTCACAAACACAAAAAAAAACCACAAAAAGGAAAATACTAAGATCAGAAAAATGTTAACTAATTAGCACTGTCAGTTTCGTTAGCGAGCGGAAACCTCTAAGAGTCTAAACAGTCCTTTTCGTTAAAGTCCTCGTGTTTGAGTCCGGACGCGAGAGAAGACGGATACGGCTCACCAGCGGTTCACGCCCTTCAATAGTCCATTGGGGAAGCTGCCGTGGTGAGAGTGCATAAGCTCGGGCCCGTAGCCCGACGGCTTGCTCCCGCTCCCGGTAGACGTCATCTGCTGCGCTGTCTTCCGCTCGAACATCAGACCAAGGTCTTGCCAAGGATTCGCCAATAGCCGCTGCGGTTGAATGGTCACCAGGACCCCGTGGAAACAGTCGCCCGCTAGGTGGATGCCCTGACGCCCAGGAGGTACTCGCACCCGACGAGGTCGCACGCCGCACCCTAGCCTTCTTCTTCCAAGCACGAGCCCGAATCTCTTCTTCCTCGTTCTTCGATGCCCTGGCTCTGGATTTTTCTCCCATTCCCTTGAATTTTCTTCTTTTTCCAATCGCCAGTGTTCGCCGCACTGGCGCAATACGCCATCTTGCACACATTGTCAGTAGTTCATCTTACGCGCCAAATTTGAAAGTCACTTGACTCGCGCACTTCACTCACAACAGTGGGGTTTAACGTCCCAAAACCACCATATGATTATGAAAGACGCCGTAGCGGAGGGCTCCGGGAATTTCGACCACCTGGGGTTCTTTAACGTGCACCCAAATCTGGGCACATGGGCCTACAACATTTCCGCCTTCATCGGAAATGCAGCCGCCACAGCCGGGATTTGAACCCACGACCAACGGGTCAGCAGCCAAGTACCGTAGCCACTAGGCCATCGCGGCGGGGCGCCGAGTGGTTAGAGTTGGTTTCTTAACACAGAAAAAACCTGAATTTCGCACTACCTTTGAAAAATAGAGGGGTCTTAAGAAGTTTCTCCTGAATTCAACAGATAGTGTTCTGCAGGAAGAAGTGAGACTTAAATTTTGATTGACGTCGTCTGCGTTCGCGCTGCTCACAGCTGTTTAGCACAGTTGCGAAACTATGATTTGACTTTTATTGCATCATTATTTTGTGATATAATGGCTTCACTTAACATTGATTTGATCATTAACATCACTGGCTATCACATAGAAATAAAATGAACAGATACATTTCTTTCTTTTTTCAAACCAAAGTGGGAGGTGGGTTCCCTATGCGAGTGGGTTTATCACGTGAGTAAATACGGTGAGTAAATCTCCTAATGAAGCAATTATAAGCAATACTTTTGGTGCACCGGCTATTGGGTGCCGCAAATACGGGTTGGTTTGTACACTTACCTTGCACATTAATCGTTCCAGCGTAGTGAGCTCCTGCAGCTCCTTGTACTCTTTCCTCAGGTTCTTGAGTTCATTCTCCAAGAACGAAATTCTGCAAACAGAACATTAGTCAAACACAACACAGTGTTTGAAGCTCAAAAACCACAGCACCAGATAATAAAATGGTACAGAGATGGAGCTCATGACAGGGAACTGGGACCATATTATTTTGCACAGGATTAAAAAACAACCTTAGGAACAATACACACATAAAGACCAAGACAACACTTCAGTTTCAATTTTAGATTGGGTGCAGTGACAAGCGAAACATTGTTAAAACGCAATGCTTTGTGCAAATAAATAGCGATTTTGGTTGAATAATCTCTAATCAAATGTGAACAGTGTATCGCATATTATAAACGAAAATTGGCAGATTTGTCATGACCTAACCTGCACAACATTCTTTAAAAGACCTTTTTCAAGCACACTAGCTCTGCCAACGAGTATGCAAGCGCTAATGGAAAAAGCCGATACTCCGAAGCAGCCACCGCGACAAGCACACAAGCCTCACGCATTAACTATCCGTTTGCGCTGTGCCAGCGCTCCTCAGAACAAGAGAACTCAGCAAGGTGCGATACAATACTGCCCGATTCACAAACTTCATTGTTTGGCTGCTACGGCCCGTCTACGATTTCCGGCTGTCCCCATGCTCAACCAGTTTTGCGGCTGAGAAGCACCATTTAATTAACCATTTAATCCTTCACCATTTAATGCTTCAGCACCATTTAATCTTTCAGTGTCAGTCCGTCTTCAGCATAAATAAAAACAAGTACAACTTGGTAGACTAAATGGTGTAAGTACTGTCCATTAATACATGGATGCATTAGTCAATGTCCTTTGACGCTGTTTAAAAGTGAAATATTATGTTCTCGTATTTAAAAGAAGCCCTAGAAATAATTGCAATTTCGTAAACACTGACTACACGACTGTGTGGTGCTCGCAGCATATGCCCCTACCAAGCTCCCTTGGCAGAGTAACTGCCGGTTGCTATAAAGCTTGCTGGGCAAAAAGATAGAAGTAGGACCAGGAAAGTATTATGCACACGAGAAACCCGCACTCACAACTGAAAGGTTATTAAAAAACATATGTAAGGAAATGGCGGTTATTGCACACGTCATAAAGAGGCATAAAAAGGCGAACAACCAAAGTGTGCGTTTACAATTGATTTTTAAAGTCAAATTTCCTGCGTTATAACTAAAGCGAAGGTTCATTGATTAATATGTGGGGTTTAACGTCCCAAAACCACGATATGATTATGAGAGACGCCATAGTGGAGGGCTCCGGAAATTTCGACCACCTGGGGTTGTTTAACGTACACCCAAATCTGAGCACACTGGCCTACAACATTTCCGCCTCCATCGAAAATGCAGCCGCCGCAGCCAGGATTTGATCCCGCAACCTGCAGTTCAGCAGCCGAGTACCTTAGCCACTAGACCACAGCAGCGGGGCATAGCGAAGGTTCACTTGAACACGGTGCGGTGTCTTAAAGATTTCTCGCATGGTCTGGTCAGGGTGACGGAGACAGATTGCTATGCCTTCAAAGATGAAATTTCATTTGCATGAATAAACATGCGAAGTACAATGGGATGGCTCTATTCAGTGAATCTGGATGCTCTCTGAGGCACGTGTTGATACACCAATCAGTCTAGCCTATGTATATGTGAAGACAAGAAAAAAATTCGGTGAGTAGCTCTTGCATTAAAATTCAGAGAACAGTTGACATGCCTCTCATCGTACTTCTCTCTGTCCACTGCAAAACCCTGCGACTTTTTGCGCTCTACAGCAGAAATGTTACTAAGCTTATGTTGCAGTAAACACAAACCTCACCTCGTATCGCTTCCAAACTTTCCTTCAGACTGTGCAGAACGTATGCATAAAATAACTGCAATATTCAGTGCCTTTGCGGGTGAAGGTAATCCAAATTATTCTTTGCTTGCAGAGTGAATGAGCTGTTCACAAACCTATGTGATGTAATGGGCAGGATACCGCACCTCCTTGCAGCTGGAAACTGTTGTTCATGTAATGTGCCCTAGATTTTTTTCTTTCTTTTTTTTCTTTGCCATGCGTAAGTACATCATCATTATTCTTCATTGAACAATATTTGAATGCACCACCACAAAATTCAACAGAGGTTTCACTCAATGTGGAATATACTGCCAGCAAACATGCTCCACAGTGACACTTAAACACCTTATACGAAACTACAAACTATCAAAGCAAGGGATCTCGCAAGTAAATTTTAGTTCAATCCCTTCGTCTTTAAACATGTTTAGAATGCGTTTACTTTTCCTTTTTTCCAGTGTGGGATGTTCATAAAAATAAAAAAAAAATTCTAGCTTAGCACTTTTCTGCAGTCTGGTGTCAACGGCCCGATCAAACTGCAATAGTATTAAATGCCATAGTGCTTTGTGAGCAGTTCATAGTTGAATAGCTATGAATTCAGTGTTCCAGTTCACATTCCCCACAACAGCACAAAAACTCGCATGCTGCTCATCAGCTTGGTTCAATGTACACCTGCCCAGTGATACCTACACTGACTGCGTTGTCCATTTCAAATTTCATACATAAATATACATGCAGGTGCATTCGGACGTATCTATTGAACAAGCGGCAGAATGTTCTTTTCGTTTTGTGCTCACATGGCGCCAATGAGCAGCAAGCAGAGGAAAAGCCGGTTCACTCGGCAAACACATTTTCCTAAATGTATCGCGCGCTCGCGAGGCGTTGTGGAATTGCTTGAAGGAGGTCTATTGAAACAAGGCCTGTACACATGCCATTTTTTTTTTTTTTTGCATCTTCGTTGGTGCAAAAACAACTTTGAATCGTAGCAGGATTTGACTTTTGGTAGAATGCAAATGATAACTTATAAAATATATTACTTCTTGAAATTTGCTATACTCGAAGCACAAAAGTTGGTATTACAAGTTTTTAAACATAAAAATATGAACTGATGTGAGGGTAACATTCTTATTTGACTTTGAAGCGGGGCTTCGGGGGAGTGCGGATTTTCTCTAAATATACGTTTTTACGGTTTACCATCACTTCACTGCTGTGAATCCACTTTTACTGAGGGTTACATGCGAAACAAAGTACACTTGTATAGGTGCTTCCGTGGCTTAGCACCACTCCACTGCCGTCAAACCATCTTTACAAAGTGTCACACACTAATATGCACCTATTCGTTTATTTTGAATAATTCAAAATTCTCAAAAATATCAAGTCGATTCAAATCATACTTAAAATCTGCATTATTCATTTGAATATTCAAACCTATAGCTAACGAAATTTATAGCAGCTGTGCTTTAACGTATGTGCGCGTTCTCGCATTGCACGCCCATGGCCAGGAGCCATACCAATGTTTCTGAGCTTAGCAGTGCAACAAGTTAGCCACTAAGATACCATGACAGGCTCTGTTAAATACAAGGAGCGAATGCCTATAACGGCCTCTTAAAAGGACAAATGCTATGATGCGCTAATGAATGATGCCCATACATGGTACAACTGTAGTTAAACTAAATGCACAACAGACAAAGGCATGCAAGAGGAAAAAAGTGTTGCCTTTTTTAAAGGTCAGATTTGTGTGTCACATATGGTGGGAGTGATGTGTGTGAAGGTCTAGTACTACAAGTCTTAGTACACAAACACTTGCTTGGTGTTTCAGAATTTTTGAAAGTGTTTGGCAAACTATCAGTTCATGAAAAACGTGTCAGTTAAAGTTATAAGCAATGCTCAGGGGTGGAACTGGGTACATGGGTTTGGGCGCAGTCCTGGGAGCAGGGAAAAGTGTCTTTTGTAGCAGGCTTGGAGCATCCGGAAAGACTTTTTAGAGAAAGCTTGGAGCAGCCAGAAAGACCTCTTTAAGCAAGTTCAGATTGGCCAGAGATTGAGACATAACATTCAGAGAAGAACCCGTTACACAGCATTTGTAAAGCAACAATTGTCCAATGCTGCATCTTCCACACAACTGTGCAATCACTCTCAACAAGTTTTTGCAGTCGCCGTCATGTCCTTTATGAAATCCATATTGGTAACATACTCTCGCGCATTGTATGCTCTATCCGCAGATGTGTGCCCAAGCGGGGTCGAGGAATAAGGCTGAAGCAGAAATCGAACAAGCCGGCCTTTCTCTGTCACTCAGAGGGCGCGTGCTATAACATCACCCCGCTCGGGAGGCCTGCCGTCGAAGCAGAGAAGAAACACCACCCGTTTGAACGAGATGCAGATGGGAGTGGTAGAGGGAGAGGGGAGGGAGGGGGTGTTGCTCGAGTAGCAACTGTGAACTTTGCTTCTAATGGCGTGTTCGCGATAGCTGGCATGTGTGCCAGCTCGGTAGCCATGAGAGGACGGCACGCATACACTTCTACGTGCTGCGCTCTCATCGTGAAGAGACTGCGAAAACTGTTGCTCAAACTGTGGTGCGATTTTATAGGTGTTCTAAGTTCGGATGGAGTTGTTCCGTTCATAACAACAAAAAGTGGGCGGTCCGCATCGATCGCAAAAACCGGGGGGAAGCGAAAAGCAAATGTGGAAAATTGAGGCTTACGTCACAATTTTGACGTCGTCTTGAGGACCAATTGAGCGCAATTGAAACGTGACGAGTCCAGTGTCTCTGTGAGATGCGCCCCGTGTAAAGACAGACGCGTAGGGCATCTCTGTAAGACACTCGCCGTGTCTCCGACCTGCGAAGGACGCGCCCCAGTGTCCGTGACAGACTCACTCAGTGTTTCTTGCAAGGGACGCAGCGTGCTCGTAACACCACAGAGTGAATGATGATGAGTAGGGCAAAGCTTCAAAGGGTTTCATCGGCAAACCGTGAATTCATCCGTCCCTTCGTCCGTCTGTGCGCCTGCCTGTCTGTCCGTCAGTCTGTTTAGCTACCCATCCATCTCTGTGTCTGTATACGACAACGGACACAGACAGACAGACCACAACGAAGGGGGGATTGAGCCACAGCGTATGTGCATGTGGCCCACTGCGACGCCACGTTCTCAATGTATCCAGATACCGAAAGGCGCGAAGCACTTACATTTAAATCCAATCCATGCCATCTTGCAGACATTTCAATCCATCCATTTCGTTTCTGACGGTCTCTCCGACCGTTCCTTCGCCTCCGTGCGAAAAACGGACGAAAACAGACACGTGACGCCTTGGCTCACGTGACATAGAATGTCTTGGCATTCGTCATGGCTCAAATGGGCCATTCGCCCATTTTCGCCCAAACGTTCGTGGCACTGGTGGAGGTGCTGGGTAAATGCGCCTCGGCTGCAGATTTTCAGCCGACACACCGAGCTACTTGGAGACAGCTACAGCTCCCACGGCAAGAAGCAGTCGCCGCCTGCAAGGACTATCTCCCAAATACAGTCCTCTCTCTGAAGAGGAGATGGCAACTTCGACTACCAACCAGGCGAGTCAAACCAACGATGCCTATTCTTTTCTCCCGCATGTTTTTCATGCGCCGAAAACACCACCCTCATTTCATGGGGACATTTATGAGGATGTTGATGACTGGCTTGACCACTTCGATCGAGTTGGAAACATCAACGAATGGGATGAAGCTCGCAAGCTGCGGAGAGTTTACTTTGCGTTAGAAGACTCTGCCGAAACGTGGTATGAGAATCACGAGGGTTCCTTTGCGACGTGGCAAGAGTTCAGCCGACAAATTCGTGATGTGTACCACAGCACTGAAAGGAAAGAGAGCGGAGCAGGCCATCTCGTCTCGGAACCAACGACCTAACGAGAAAGTTTCAATGTTTGTCGAGGACATGCTTCAACTCTTCAAGCGTGCCGACCCTGCAATGTCCGAGGAAAAGAAGGTGCGGCATTTAATGTGTTAGGTAAAAGAGCAGCTCTTCGCCGGACTCGTGCACAATCCGCCGACGACTGTGGCCAAGTTCATAAACGAGGCAACCACAATGGAGTGTACTCTCCAGCATCGGTCGTCACAGTATGAACGCCACGACGCGACCACTGCTACATGCTCTATCGGGGCTGGCAGCAAGAGGCATGCCCTCGCAGAGTTCATAAGAAGCGTCGTGCGGGACGAGCTGCGCCAACTCCTCCGTGGAACGAGTGGAACGCCTCCGTCAGAATTTGGCTTACATGACATAGAACATCACGGCATTCATCACGGCTCAAATGGGCCAATCGCGTGCGACTGTATGGAGCAGAACGCCTCCGTCCGAATTTGGCTCACATGACATAGAACGCCACCGCATTCCCTACGGCTGAAACGTGCCAATTACGAGCGACTAGATGGAACGGAACGCCGCCATCTGGATATGAAACGCGCATAAAATTGCACCACTGGAGTGACTGTGCTCTCTTACACCAGTATTTTCTAGAGTTACGCGAGATCAGAAGTTGGGACTTGTTTAGCTAGGCACAACTGCCCATTTGTTAAACCTGAACACACAAACGTCAATCGCCGAGTGTATAAGCACTTCATAACGGATAACAGCGGCGAAGTGAACGAGAATAGGTGCGAGCCCAGTGAGCAGTCTTGTGCCCCTGTTTTCGCTTGTTTTGAGAACCAGACACCACTCCCATTTTTTTGTGCACCTTTTATCTCTTTTCTGAGCACTGCCATTGGGCTATGAGAGAAAATAAAGAGTTGAACTGCAATGGTGAAGCAATTGATGCAGTAACAAATTGTATGTAATACAAAGGCAGGCAACTAACCTTTTTGTTGGATATATCGCATAACTCTACAAAATGTTGGTGTAAAAGAATACAGCTGCGCCAAGGAGAAGTGCTTTTTTGGGAGCAACACCTCTTGCGTTACTAGTACAGTTCGTGGAAGAATCCAGGAGCCATTCGTGCTGATGCCTGCCGAGTTGGTGAGCACGCCAGTGATCGCGGCTATGCCATCAGAATCGAAGTTCACAACTGCTGCTCGAGCAATCACAGCCTTGACGAAACTGAAGCTACCATATTTTCTCACATATAACCTGCAACCTTAACTTTGAACTCTCCGAAAAAATAAAAAAGTTTTGGGAAGTCCCAACTGCACAGTCAAAATCTCGTTTACAAAAGAACTTCATTTCGAAGCGATTGTCCCAACGTTTGTCGCCACATTAAACATCCGTGCCTGGTCCATGAATCGCTGGAGCCATCCACGCCTTGCACGAAACTCGCGTGACATGTTCATTTCGCGGGCCAACTTCAGCGCTTCCATTGGCACTATCTCTGTTAACACAGCGTGGCCGCGACTCCTCCGTTGCTCAACAAATTTGACAAGCTGCATCTCAAGAAGGGGGTATGCACCAGTCTTTGGGCCGCGAAATGCTTTCTCCTTGCGTGCATTTTTGAGAGAGGCCTTTTCTTTCACCAGTCGCGAATGCAAAACTCGTCGACTTCGTCACTCCTCGCAGCAGCTCTGTTGCCGATGTCTTCAGCAGCTATAACCTCGAGCTCTTCTTTCGCAATGAAATATTGCCGTTGAGACCCACTCATGGTGCCTTACCAGACAAGTGAATAAACACGCTACAGAGGGGATCTGTCTATGGCCTGTGTTGGCTTTCATTGGCTTTGCACCAGACGTTGACGATGGGGATGCGGACTGCACAGCAGGCAATGCATTGCCGTGAATCTAACCTCTGCATCCGGATTATTCGCAGATAACCCACACCCTCACGGATCAGGTAACTTTTTTTTTCTTCAATTTTTGGTACGGGTTATATGTGAGCAAATATGGTATAATAGCTTCCAATAAACCAAAAACACCATGTTTCAGCCATGTTTTCAGACACGGGCTTGATGGCTGTCACACCTTGCGGTTAAGTTTAGATCATGCGGCACAGTACGGTGTTCATGAATGAATTTGGCACAACAAGAGCAGTTCGGCGCAAGATGGTGGAAATGGTGCAGCTGTTTCAACCTTGAATGCTACGACAAACTACTTAAGAAGGAAAGAAAGAGACTACTGCCAATAATATCCCCTATACTTTCCTTGGCTTGATGGTCTGTTAGTTCTCATTAACACTTTAACGCCTGAATAATGAAACCGCCAAACAAAAAAAATTGTCAATTTGCAGCTTTAAACATCAACTGTTCATTGATTTTAGAGTTAAATTATCTAAAATACTACTTTAATGCATACTTCTAGATACATTGCGAGTTTTTGACATGCCACAGACACTAGAATCTTGCAAAAAAAAGTACTCCATAATTAGGTAATATGTCTTGTGCCACCTCTGCGTGCATACACACCAAGTAAAAAAAAAAAAGAAAACAAATTAAACTCGTGTCACTCAGGTGAAAAAGAACAAACAAGTGAGAACTGTTGCATGTGCTTCACACTATCCGCCATCCCTCCACAACATTTCGTTCTAGCATAGAATGCCTTAAACGACACTGCGATAGGTCTTGCGTGCTGAAAGCTATGCTCTTCGTGAGTACTGGACAGCGGGTATTAAATGTGGCCCACGCTTCGCGACTTGCTTGCTCGAAGTTTTTCAGTATGTGGCGAATTCGCAACACTTGGCAGTAGAGGGTTAATGTTCTACATAGTACTAAGTCACATAAGCGTTTACAATCCTAGTATGTTTACCATTCCATTATTTTTCATTTTGCAATAAAGCATGGCCCGAACCGCTTACCTTTCAGCGCATGTGGTGCTGCAGCAAGTCTGTAAAACAAGAATGTAATTGAATTTGAGAAACATGCCGGGGCGAGTTCCTATAAAAGACATTCAAGAGACACAAAAAGATGTTTGCCCATGGTAATACTAGCATGAGAAACAAGTTTCCTCCCTGGCTTATTTTTGAGAAGCATTTGTTCAAACAAACACCACAACGCTGTTACCGCCTGTTCATTATGTGGTGCTCCGCTGCTTATAAGAAATATGAGGCGAACCATAAAACTGCAGCTGACCTGCCAGTCGCGATGAGGATAGATCGCAGTGTGCAAGCAGGGCTGTTTTTAATGCCACGCACCCGGTGGGCTTACACAATCTCCTGAAAAGCCTTTACGTCACACGTTATGACAGACTAATGGATTTGAATGCATTACTAATCTTTTCGACATTCCCAGAAAATTTGCGATGTAAATTGACCGATGTTTTTTCGATCTAAAGAAAGCTTTTTTAAAGGGGCCATACATGGTCACCCAACAATGCGTTGTTTTCAGAAAAAAGGTGCAAGGTCTATTATGCCTATATATGGGTTTCAAAAGTTGGCTGTGAAAGAAAAAGATAATTCCGTGCAAAACAAGCCCTTGAAGCTGTAAAGTCGACCAACCGTAAAGTCACTAAAAACATAAAAGCACGTCAACTTTGTTCCTTTGTTCCTAGGAGCTGCAGCAGTGCCTGTAGCATGTCACGCAGGAAACAAATTTTTTTTTACGCTGTAGTGAAAATAGCTTTCTGCAGTTGTACCAGAGTTTGCTATCATTGGCACAGTAAGCTGGCATACCAACGCATCTAGAACTACCGTACAGACAGACTAAAACGCGGTCGACTAAGTACTTTGCACCAATCAAGATGCAAACAAACAAGATGTTACTCGCATGATCCTCCAACCCCCGTGTTCAGAAACGCTCCTTGACTGAAAACCGCCTTCAATGCAGCATGTTTCAGACATCTGTGCGTTTGTGCTGCCTTGGCACAGCCTAAAGACAGCGCGTTCGAAACGCGTTTGTGTTGCAATGAAGTCAGTGACAAGTCAAGCAGCATTTCTGAATAGGGGGGCGAAAAGCCAGTGTGCCACTTTTAAAGGTTAGCGATTTCTTAGCGCCGCTGAGTTTGCAGTAACGCTGCCATCAAAAATGAGCACTTTCACGCACTAAAAAGTGCGTACCATACATTTTCATGCTGTCGGACACTATTAAAACACGCCACTTGCATCTGTACACATAACAATGCCATATTTATCGCTATTTTTCATAGTATTCATTTCCTGAACTTTTGCTACTATGTCACATATAACTGCAGCGCCCTTGGGTGCTTTAGCAGAAAAACTGCCCGAGCCTTTTTTCACCCAATAGCCATGTTCTTCAAGTTTTGCAGCCCAACTAACTTCATTTGCATTCTACAAAGCACACGGGAGAGCAGGTGCCTGTGCACTGACATGAATGACGCTCTTTTAGTCACTTGTAAGAACTTTAACCCACTGCTGGCGACAGCCATTTTGTTATGGCACATATGACGCCATGTTGCTGGAAGAAGCGTAGCCGTCATCCTTCCCAAAGTTCCAGCCGCTACAAAGGGTTAAACTTCAGTATCAATCTGAAGAAACCTAAAATATCTCAATTACATTATCACTCTGCAACATTTCCCAGAGCCGTCAAACAAATGTTCGACCTTAGAAATACAGTAAAGCCTCGGTAATTCGAAGTCGCTGGGGTCGTGAGAAAGCTTCGAATTGAACGGGTTTTCAAACTAACAGAACATACAAAACGTGAGATGCAAAAAACTTGGAACTATTCAAAGTGATCGCTGCTTGTCGTTTGCTTTGCCGGCTAGCTAGCAGCTTCAAAGGTTATGTTTTTCAGCAATACATGGTCTTAATTTTGCCGCGAACATGATGGAACGGTGAGTCTCGCTTCTGCCACTGAGGTAAAAAATAAATAAAAACTCTATCATGACTGAAAGGTACGCCTGCAGAAAACAAGGCACCTTCACTGCAACACAGTAGTGACACGCGGGCAGCATATCGCCTGCTCCTCGCTGTGTCAGCACGTCATGATGCGACCATTCGCACAACATTATTTCTATTATAATTATGAATTTAATAATGTCCAGTATGACAAAGCTCACGATGTATTTAGCTGGAAAAAATTATCTTTGAAACTTTCGAACTTAATTTTCGAAGTAGGTGTTGCTGGCAAGAACTCTGCCAGCAGGACAAAGACACAAATTGCTGGAGCAACCCGCAATCGGAGGTTCGCATACATCGCGATTTCCGCTTAGCTGACCTTTATTATTTTTTTACAATCCAAGAAAGAATGGGTAAACCATGACCCGCTGACGTTGCGAGAAACATGCAATAAGCTACCCGCGTGGTACCACTGTGTTGCAGTGAAGCATATAGTTCATATTCCACAGGCACACTTTTTTGTTGACCACGAGACCGTTTATTCTTTTTTTTTTTGTGCTGGAAGTAGCGAGACTGGGGTGCTTCAGCTGCCACTCATTAGTATCGATACGTTGCATTGCCCTGTGGCAATTAATGGCCGCCGTTTCCGCGGATTCGCGGCGAAATCGGGATATGGAACTGGCACATGGCACCCAAAGTTTTCCAGTTAACCAGACTGGTGCCGGCCGCCACTTCAATTATCCACTCAAACTTACATCGCGAAATACGGGACCACAGAAATCCTTTGAATTAAGCGAGATTACGAAATAACCGAGTTCAAATTAACGAAACTTTAGTGTATTAGCTACGCGGCGTCCTTGAAGCACTTGAGATTTCATAATAAAAAGAATAATTTACTCACATGTGCCACACAGGACATACTGAAACACCACACAGGCTACTAAACGCCGAACAGGCCAAGCACTGCACGAGCGTCTCTGTCAAGCCGATATCTTCTTTCACTAGCTCACAAAAAGGCACGTGCATTTCTAACAGAAAGAGTTCTGATTGAGCGAAAAACGTTGAGCATGTTAAGCATGATGTGTAACAAAGTATCCAGGCTTCTCGATAATTATAAGCATATAATTTTAATATATAATGCATAAATTAACACAACTGGCCAACGAATCTTGCCTCCTCACGATAAAAGGAAAGAAAGTTCACTGTTTGCTCAAACGAAGGCACTTACATTTGATAAGTCGCTTGTTTGAAGAGCAGCTGACCTCCGAATCCTCTCTTCCCTCTGAAGCTCCTTTTCAAAGTCGTCATGAGTAATGGCTACAAAACAGAACATTTAAAATCAGTTCTGCAGAGTGTCACAAGGCGATGGAAGGGTTATGAAAGGGATCACTGACAAACATTTATTTGTAGCCCGAGGCCAGACAGATCAGTACAGATTTAGTACTGGCATAATGCTACAAATGGATTATTGTCAGTTCTCTCTTTCAAAACAGAAGATGCCATACATTAATTATTAATACTGTAAAAGCAGCTGTATAATTGAAATTTCATGGGACTGGAAACCCTGTCCGAATCAACCGAATGCCGAGTTTTCGAAAGTATCAAGAAAACACTTAGCAAATGTCTGTTTCATCAATGCACTCTCATTTTCTTGAGAAATACGTAAATCCAGGAATTAAGAGTCGCAGTTTTTGCCATTTGCAATATCGTTGCCAATGTGAACGTGGCTCAAGAGCCCGTGTCTTAAGCCGAAACATGCTCCGATTTCATACCTTATTATGAACTAGCAATGCAATTGTGGATTAATCCAAGACATCTGTTATGTCTATTCCTAATATATTCAGTATAAGGGCAGGTTTGAACAATGTTTCCAAATGACGTTTTCGGTGTTCTATGTCACAACGCTTTGAGATTTATATTTGATATGCGACTTATATTCATATATGGTTTACTTTTGCGACACTCTGTGATTGGCATGCTCAGAGGATTGTCTGAATGAACCGGATGGTGGCCAAATGCTCAACGATCCAAATAAGCGTAATAAACTGGGCCAACTACACCCAATGTGGTAATAAAGTAGGCCAAAAATATCTCGTTTCTGTGAGTGTAGTATAAACACAATGTATGAGACCTTACATAGTGCAGAACACTGTAGAGCCAGACTTGATTACCTACACAAAGATCACTCACACACATTACATTTTGTGTATGCAAACAGTCTGCCTATTTGTTCACAATGGTCGATATGTTGTTCACCTGATAAAATTCTGAATACCATCACGCAAGCAACACTTCTGATAAAATGTAAAAAGCAGCTATTCAATATTAGAAAATCACTTGAAAAGTATTAGCAATTGCATTTATTTGTCAAAATAATTTTTGATTTCTTTGTTCATCACAGTACCCACAGCGCCCAAGGGGGAGGGGGGAACTCAAAGTATCAATACATAACAAAAATGACAGTACATTGTGTAAACATGAAAAAGTACAGTGCACTCTATACTCAAACAAGCACGCAAAGGTGCTACTTATAGTGAAATAAAAAAACCCTCAGTTCGATTTCAATCAATATCATTCTGTGTGCTGCTGGCACTACCCGATTCACATTTAAAATTTTTATCCTTGTACGAGTCTCAAAACTAATTGAACAGAGCAGTGGTGAGAAAAAGCTGTACCATTGAATGACTCTGTTTCTTCGAGGACAGTGGAAAGTCTACCTCCTCGCCCCATGTCTGGACTTTCCTCCATTGCACATGGAGGCGAAGGTGTCCATTGGGGCAGTGGGCTAACCAGCGGCCTAGGCAAGCTGCTGATGCTCCTTGGCGCTGCCCACGTCTCTCTGCGCTGTTTTCGCTTCTGCAAGAAGCAAATCGCAGCGTGCATCCAGCACATGTGAAGAACAAGTAAGGACTGGTGCACAAGTCTTTTCTCATTTACCACGCACTTTCCTGCCTGGCATGTTTTTATATTGTGTAATTTAAATGCACAATAAATACATAATGAGTAGAACAGGAAAGAATTGAGACAGAGTAGGAGTTATGGAATGTTTGTGCGAACATTTCCTTGGCCGTGGCCATACAGCTTACATTACCGGTGTCAAACAGACAACCCGGAGACCTTTTACTATTAAAATTGTTCACTCATGACTGACCTCATCTCAAATTTTTCTAGAATTATCTACACAAGTACAATCACCAGCTACACAGACGTCACTGATCTCAAGCAGTTTTTTTCCATGACGCACCCCACACAGTAATGTTGAAAGTAGAAAAAAGTAGGCTTGTGCGAATATTCGAATGCTTCAAATATTCAAACGAATAGTAGAGTATTCGAATTCACTTTGATTCGAACTTAAATTATCGAATATTTCGAAGTATTTGACATGAACAAAATAATGTATACTAAACTGCATGCAACTGCCTGTAAAGATGGTTTCACTGCTGTATAGGACTGCTAAGCCGTGAGAACATATAACCAGAAAAAAATTTGCTCTGCCGCGAAGCCCCACTTTAAATCTAAAGGGCCCTGCTACTTTTTTTTGAGCCTGATCGGCGAACGCTGCCGATCGGTAGTCGAGGCTACCTAAAACGCGCGAGCTAAATATTAAAGCACAGCACACGACCTGAAATTCACAATACATTCTGAAAGTCAGATAAATATTGCCTTCTCTCGGCGATTAACGCCACAATGTGCAAAATCGCTCCTCACAACCACTGTACCAGCCATTAGCCGATTAGAGCATGGGGCGCTCGGTCGTTACTGGGGCTGCTGCGGGTGGCCAAAACATGTCCATGCGTACATGCGTGATCGCACTGAAAAGGCGCGTATTCAAAAGAAAAAAAAGAGAAAAAGAGTGCTCAAGGTAATGACCCGCATGTGACGTATTTTCTTTCCCTATGCCATTTCTCCCGGCTTTGCTTTAGGCGCTTTCGTTGGAACAAGAAGAGAGAACGCAATTGCAGCACGTGGAAAATCTTTGCGACACCACTCATACTGAACAAATTCTAAAACTTTTTGTGATGGTTAATTCATAAGGCAAAGAGCTTCTTTAGTGAATCCATTACATGGCTACTTGAAAGACTGTTGCAGGGCCTCTTTAAATGAACCTATTATCTTCAAATCTATTGATAACTTTTAAGCTTAAAACCTTGTTTTTTTGCCAGCTTATACACTAACTGTACAATAAAGTTACATATTTTACAGGTTATCACTTGCATCCTATTGAAAGTCAATCCTGCTACTTCACAAAGTTGTTTAGACTGTCTTTGAATAATAAAAAAAAAGCTCTTGCATAAAGGTCTTGTTTCTAAAAAAAATATTGTACACGTTAGTTAGGTCTTGATAAATATGCCCATTTTTCTTTACACGTCATATATTCTATCCAAGTTCGATTTAAAATTATTCTACAAAAATCACTACTCGCTTTGAACTTGAATACACTGTTTGCACAAGCCTAGAAATAAGATTCTATATTTTAGAATTGGCACCCACATTTCAGTCATTCTGGCAATCAGTACAAATTAGGGTTGTGTAAATTAGGGTTGTGTGGACTGTAGGTTCGAAGCGATGAGCCATTTTGGACGAATAATTTCGAACCAAATTGAAAAATAATAGAATCTCGATGATACGATTACAACTGTTGCAGTTTCACAGTGATGCAAATTTTAAGGTCGTTTTGTACAGACTACACTATATAAATTATGCCGTGAATCGATGTTATCGAATGGTTTCCCCAGCCACCGCAGATGATACGAATGTGTGATGGACCACTGCACGCCAATAGCGCAACACGGCTTGTCTGTGCGAGGAAGGCATGTTCACTCTTGGCCTCGAAGAGAGTGAATACGGCAAAACTTGCTGGAATTTTCCTAGCTTTAGTGACCGGAAGAACACACCGCCAAAAAATCGGCCCGAGACCAATTTTCCCGCCACACAATAGCAGATTTTTTGCTTCACGGCTTTGGCTATACTGTCTGCTCTAGCTCTCAAAAAAGTGATGTAAACCATAGAAAACTATGATGTAACCAACCAGCCGCTAATTCAACATGGCAGCAAAGGCGCCGGCGGTGGATCGCGTTGCCATCATCCCAAACTACCCGTGCAGCACATCAAAGCTCACGGCCTTGACAAGGATGCGTTCACCAAGAGCCTGGTTTGGATTACGACCGTGAAGTGCACCGGAAGTAGAAGAAGGTGCTGCAGCAGCGAGTCTGCATGCCCTAACGTGTCTCGTTTTTTTTTTTTTTGCCCTGCTGGCTGAATCCACCGCCGCCGCTGCGTCCGCTCGTTTTGTTTCTGCTGGTGCATCTTCTGAAACAACGTTTGTAAAGGTGTAAACTGTTTCCTATCAGTGCTTTGCCTGCATAACCAGAACATGTATCAACATAAATGCTCAAAAAACAGGCAGAATGGAATGAATTCTCAAGCGGGATGGCATACGTACGAGGGGCAGAACTAGTGTGTTTCTACGGGCCCGGACGTGGTTTTCCGGCAGCTATGGTGTTTTTCACTTGAATTCTCCAGTGTAAATACTCCAAAACTGATATTTCTTCGTGGCACGGTTTTTCGGCCACTTAAACGACGAAGAGAGTGCATTTGCAATAAGTTTTGTCGCCTTTACTCCCTTTGATGTCAAGTGTGAACGCGCCGCGCCAGCAGCATCAGTGAGCAAACCGTGACATTAACCGTGACACATTATTGAGAGATTTTGAAGGCAGAAAAGTTCCAAAGAACATTATGGGCTTCTTTCAGCAAGAAGGATTTGCCAATAAGACTCTAGTTCATCTTCAATATCAGCTTTAAGTCGTTTCTGGTTCATACGAATTTGGGATGACATGCATATTTTGCGTGCACCCTACGAATTCATATCATCGAGATTCTACTGTAGCACAGTAGACTCTCAGTAAACGGAAATCTGTTAAACGGAACTACTGCCGAAATGGAACAGATGCCTCCAGCAGGATTGGTTTGATACTTGTATTCTGCACCCTTGTTCATGTCTCAGTAAATGAAGCTCTTGCTAGTTCTGTTTAATGAAGGTCTACCGAATATTATCACATATCAAAAAAAAATTGGCATAGTACTTGTCTTGACCCAACAAACCCTCACAGTAAGAAACAACAGAGTAAAAGAGCTTGCCTGTGGAAGGGTGGAGACGAGCAGTTTATTCTCCAGCGACAAAACCTTGCTCTTGAGCTCGTCGATCTGGGTGTTCTTTTCCTCAAGAGCCTTCGTCAGATGTGTCTCTTCCATGACCTGCATGTAAAATTAAGTAAAGCCCCATCCTCCTTGGAAGGAAAAAAAAATGGTTGCGCACAAGCCACACGAAGACACAGAATATAGGAACAAGCGCAACACGGTTGTGCTTGTCCTTGTACTCTGCGTCTATGTGTAGTCTGTAAGCAACCATCCTTCTCTTCGAAGTATGAAGCGACTCGCCCAGCCGCAAGGCTTATTGAATTCTTCTCTTTACTGTACAAAAGAAGAGAATATGTAGAGCACAGCCTGAAGTATTATGGCATGCACTCGTGCCACTTGGAAAAGCCTTGCACGTCCCTTGCAACACGTAGAGCCTCATTACAATTAACTAAGATATGGAAGAAATTTTCCCTGGATGCTTCAGTCTTGCTATACCAGCGAGACAGGATCTCAAATATTGCAGTCTTAAAGAAATGCTTCAACGACTTAGTTTCGGGGAAGATATATTTGCACACGTATACAGCTTTCTTCGGTTAACCCGTGTAACTGACATAAATACTGCAAGCATCTATGTGATAGTGTTCAAGCTGAGAAGAACTTGTTGCTGGCCGAGTTGGTGCATGTCAACACAAAAGGGATAACTGCACTACACATGTAGCGCAGTTATCCTTTTTGTGGTAGCTCAGTTGGTAGAGCATCGGACGCGCTATTCGAAGTTCGCAGGTTCAGTCCCTGCCCACGGCAAGTTGTCTTTTCATACACTTTTCTTTCTTCACATTTATATTATAATTACTTCATATAACATCCCTTATACTTTCTTTGGCATGATTGTCTGTTAGATCTCATTAAAAGTGTATCTACCAAAGAAAACGAGCCCTTCAATGTACGCTTTTCTACATGTATAAACTAGACACACATACACAAGCGCAGTGTATGTGCCTGTGTATGAGTGTCTGGTTTATACATGCGTAGCAGACTTATCCCTTCTGTGTTTAAGCTGAGCCTTGTTCGCACAAACATCAACTACAGAAATGTATACTCAGCTGCCGATAGAAACATATAGTATATTTAGGAAACATAGTATATAAGCAGTGCTAGAGTACTGAATAGAGAGTTTTCTAATGACTACAGCTTGAAGAATTTAGGTGAAAGATACACTTAAAGGTCTGATTGATATCTGGGGTTTTATGTCCCAAAACCACTACTTATTATCAGAGACGCTGTAGTGAAAGGGCTCCGAATATTTCAGCCAGCTGATGCACCCAAATCTAAAAACACAGGCTTACAGCATTTTCACCTACATCTTATCGAATTATTCACGTCATTCCAGTGTCACATCCATGAAGAGCACCCTAAACCTGCCTGATCTTTCATTTCGCCACAAATTGTCTCACCTTCACCTTTTTCACAAAATCTATCATTATAACAGCCATTTGAAGGACACCCTCTTTCATCCACCTCGATTCATATCAGCAAGCACCCACCATTGCTTTAAGGTTGGCTTACCCTCCTGTCGCACGAGACTAAGACGATTCATTTGTGCCAAGGACAAGCACTGCCTGGAACCAACTTCCCGCCTTCATCGCCTGTATAACAGACCTAAAGGACTTCAAGCTCGCCTTACATGATGCCCTGTAAATATTTTTCCAGTTTTTTGTTTCTTTCTTTTTTAAGTTTTTAAAACTGCACTTCCGATTGTTTACACCACTCTTTTCTGTGCCTTCGGGCCTTGAAAGTACGATTAATAAATAAAATAAATGCCCCCCCCCCCCCCCCTTAACAGCTGCTACGACCCCTTCTAAGCAAAAACAGATATGTATTATGTATTAATGCCTATATATATATATATATATATATATATATATATATATATATATATCCCTTCCCACAAATGTCACCCCCACACTTCAGATATACTTCCGGATCCCCTGCGGACTATGGCAGATTTATACGGCCCAGAAATGCAAGGTGTAAAAATTTAGTTAAATAAGGGTGAGCTAACTCAAAATGCTCAAGCTTACTTAAAGTGCTCTCAAATTTGCAGGCATTTACCGCTGACCGCCTTATAGACTGGTGGAGCATTGCATGGTGCATTACAGCAAGAGAATAACCCAGAAGCGAGTGTGGGGCCTATACTTACCGATATGGATATAGTATTAAGAGGCAATGTTGTCAATGTAGCTTCCACAAGGAAATTCTTAAAGGCCTCCTATTCACCTCATCAAAATGTATCCACAACACTGCAGTAGCAGGTTTCTGCGATGGAGGTCCTTGGTTCAGTTCTCGTGCAATGATCAGCATTTAATGTTTTTCGTTGTTATTTGTTTTTACTTTTCATTTTTCAATTACGACTGTTTCATTTTTCAGTTTTTTTTTTATACAATGTACGCAGTGATACAACAACCAATGCACACTCTTCCTGTGCGTTTTGTTTCTGATATCGCTTCCAAAGCCAAATCATTAATACGTTTTGGTTACTAATACGGTGAATTTACCATAGCATTCAAGACAGATAATATGGTTATACGTAGACCACGGCAGCGTTTTAATTTGAGGCATGGCATTAATCATACTAACTGAACAACACAAAAAAAGAAGTGATACAAATATACCTTCACTTGATCCTTGAGCTCTTGAATTTGCATATGATAGCGGCGGATCAGAGCCTCGTTTGTGAGAATCTCGTTCACCGTTGGAGTGTTTTGTATTTTCTTTGCAGAGCTTGCAAACTGAAAAATGCAGAAACCTCAATATCAATCGAAGGCAGCAAAAAGGACATGCGATCCCAGATAAATTATAGGGGCATACATTATTCATACTAGGAGCAATTGAATGTTATCACTGTATTTACAACAAAGTATGGAAAACAATTAGCCATATTACAGTAAAACCTTGTTAACCCAGATGTCACGTGACCGGTGAAAATGTCAAGAGATAACCAAATTTGGGATTATTGAATGGACCATGCAAACAAAAGGAAAATGAGTGCTCTTCACAGACAACCTTTATTTCATGAAAACCTTTATTTGTGTCTACCTTGTCGCCAGAATTTGTGCTACAATGATCTTCGACTCCACCAGGTGGTGCAGCACACGCTAGCTGTCACGAAAACCAAAGATAGTGTGAGCTTCGGCGGCTTTCTGCACAGTGCAATGTCACGTAATGCAAACCGTCTCGTCATCCATGCTTTTTAGTAGACACAAGATGCACTGATGGCCCAAGTGCTTCCGCCAGGTGAAGACTAGCGCTACCGAGCCACTTCTTCCTCATTCACTATCATCATGATCACACTCTGCCGCAGTTGTTCATTTGGTTCCAGTCTCTCTAAAACTACGGTTCTGCCGTCGGTTGCGGCAAGCAGTGCTTGAGCCTCCAAACTGCTTGGATTGCGCGACTCTCACAGTTACGGAGTCTTGATGGTACCCTTTGGAGTTGCCCAAGTTGACCGCTGTGCAGCTGAATACCTCTGAATTAATGAGCATTTGACACGATGGAAGTATACACAGTTTTGCCCGAGCTACGCTGCGAGTCAGGCTTTACCCAATTTTCAGACTTAACGCGATCAGGATAAACAAGGTTTTCTGTTATACGTGTTGCTGTTTAGTTGATTCATGCATAGAGAAGGATGCAATCTATGACAGGACAGTGAAATAAAATGCCTGATGCACTAACTCATCAAAGCTGATGTTTACACGTTCCTGTCATACAGCACATTTGTACAGAAAAGCAAAGGAGTTAAGGCCACGTCACACATCAAGGACTATGAATAATAGTCATCTTACTACACACACGACTTGAGCTACCGTCATAACAACAAATATTTATTCCTGTGCTATATAACAGAAGTATCACTGATACACATATTATTTTCTATATAAAACACTCACTAAATCGTGTGCCAGCGTGCCGTCGCTCTCATCCAGAATTCAGACGCTAGGAAGCACAGCGTCATATTCACAGAACGAGGAATGCGCCAGCAAATGCAATATGTATATGAAACCATGCTTGAGCAACTGATGGAGTTGAAAGTGACTGCTGCTTGCCTCCTCAAAAAAAAAAAAAAACCCACGAGGCCACTAGTCGAAACATCGGCTCCAGCACACACCCCCCTGTTTTCAGTCGAAATTACCGTATTTACTCGATTCTACCGCGCCCTCGATTGTAACGCGCACCCGATTTCCACCGCGAAAAAAAAAAAAAAAAAAAAAAAACGTAAGACATCGATTGCAACGCGCACCCATTTTTTTTCGCTGGCCCGCACGATCACACCACTCGAAAAAACGATTCCTTTCGGGATTGTCTTCCATCTAAATATGAGGTACGGGCGAAGCTTGTGCCCATCTGACGTGTAACAGAGCATTGCCGTCACTGTAGTTTTACCATGGACCGATGTCAGCACGCGAACTTGCTTTGCCCCCTTCTTCTCGACAGTTGTGGTGCCAGGCATGTCGAAGTAAAGAGGCGTCTGATCGGCATTCCAGATTTGCCCAAGCAGGTAGCCGTTGTTGCGCCGCAAGTTTAGGACGAACCTTTGAAAACTGTAAAGCTTTTCATCGTACTTCTCCGCAAAAGTTTTCGCATATGCATGTTCCCCTTCGAAGGGAAGAGCCTTTCCTCTTCATATAGTTAATTAGCCAGCACCTGCTCGCTTTAAACTGGCTCCGCATTAGACTTTTTTCTAAGACTAATTGCATAGCCCGCACTTGGAGCAGTTCTGTCGTCATGGGCCGCTGTGCCGCTCGCTCCTCAAGCACATACTCGCGGAGCAGCTCTTTAATTTGCGGAAACCGACCCTGCTGTGGTTCACTGAAGCCTTTGCGTGAAGCTTTGCTGTCGACAATCTTCTGCTTTTGTTTCCGCCGGTCCCGCACGCACGCTTCGGGAACGACCGCGATGCGGCCCGACTTCCGTCCGTTTCTGCACACGCGATGACTTTTCTTTTAAAAGCGGCATCGTGGTGCACTTGAGTTTTTGGAGTCGGCCCTTTCACGTCGTCGATGCTAATGCACTACTAGATGACGAACTCCTCAGCACACGTACGAAGTGCCGCACATGGTAAACACATAGGCAGAAATAGCCGACGCACCATGCCGACGCACGTAGGGGGCGGCCATTTTGGATTTGCGATGGCAATAGATTGACCGTAATTTTTTGTTCGTACTCGATTCTAACGCGCATGCGATTTATGAACTCGCTTAACCGGAAAAAAGGTGCGCGTTAGATTCGAGTAATTACGGTACTCATTGCTTGCTGGTGTTACCGTGCTCCATCATAGATACGCTGGCTTGTTAGACAAAAATCCTTCAATCTGATACTGGTGATACAGTATTAAAAGACGCTTTTACAGACCAAGAATGTCAATGACAGAAATTGTACAACTTATCACCCCAAGTCTGCTGAGCCTCGAGATAAAGCTCACGGCCATACAAAGAGCCATGGAGGTGGCAGTCAGGCCATGCCTCTGTGCAAAAGACTTGTTCATATACACAAAGTTAATTCTCTCTCACCTTGAGTGTGCTGAGCGTCTGCTCCATGCTGCAGGGATTGACTGTGCATACTATGGCAGTGTGCGAGTTGCCACCTAGGGAGTTTCTAAGAATGCGAGTCAGTTTGGAGTCCCTGAAGTTGATGTGACCTCTGAAACGAAAATGGGTTGAAGTGTTCAGTTAAATTACTAAATCAAAAGAACGCAACATCAAGAAAACCATGTAATTTTCTGCAGAAAGATAGAAACCCACAATCTCATCCTTGGTAGTTCTGTACGCAGAACATGCCCCGTAATTCTATAAAATAAAAAAAAAAATAGCTTTCCCTGGTGCCTAGCTCCAAAAATAAAAACGGAGTGACATTCTTATTCCAAGAATGAAAGTGGCAATGTAGCTAGGAAATTACAGTGCCAAAGCTTGAAAGCAGTAAGCACAGAAGCAGTGACATAGCGCCAAGTTACCTGTTCGTAGTTTGTCCACCACCCGCATTAACGCGAGTTAACACAGTTACCATCTCACCTCTCAGTCGAAATCGCAGCTTGTAAACAGAAGCTTAAATTTTTGTCATCCTCAGTCTCGCAAAACACGCAGCAGGTAGAGGATGAACAAAAGGGCATATCGCACATGGGGCTCTTCATTGTTTTGCTAAAATGTGATATATTTATACTGCTGATCATGCAGCATGAAAAGAATTCAACAGTGATGTCAGCACACCAAAGTATGTGCCCTATGGTGCTCATTAAAGGAGTGATAGAAGTGCTTTTTTACTTTTTGGAGCATACTTTGGAATAGGAAAAGCACTGCTTCGGAGAAGCCATAAGCGTTTTCGGAGCACAAAGAAATACTAAATTAGCACAGCTATTGGTGTTTTAGGAGCAAATACTAAATTTGCCAACATTGGCGTATTGGGAGTTCAGAGCATTGTCAAAGCATCTCATAGATAAGATTTCTTAAGAAATACATTTACCAGACAACTATAAATGTCAATTCCAAGTACCAAACAATAGTAGGTTCTCAAAAATTGGCTGTGAAATGAGCTGCAATTTAAAATGCTAGTATTTGTGGCAGAAATCAAATCGAGCTGTAAAAGCTGAGCACCACATTTTAGAAGTAACCACAGTCCCATATAAATGTTCTCAAATAAGCAGTAGGTAATCAGTACAAGATAAAAGCAGCCCTGCTAATTTTCATATTTTACCTTTATTAGCCTGCAAACCTAGTTGAAAAAAGGACAGCCAAATGAGCTACTAGCATATGCTTAATATGCTGACTGTTGCACAAATGAGATCAGAGCCGATAATGCTGCACTGGGATCATAGTACACAGATTCTTTTCAGTTTCATTAGCACTTACGAGTCGGTCAAACAGCAAAAGTTTGTCATTCTCTATCTCTCGGTGTCATTTTGGAGCACGTCGGCAGCAATTAGTAAAAAAAATTACTGTTTGGAGCACCAATTTTTTTTTCAGAGCAGTTTGGAGAAGCACTTCCCTTATTGTTAAAGGAAATGTTCTCGCTCTTCCTCCTGCAACAGTGTTGCTGTTCCACCAGTTTCCTGGCATAATGGGTGCGGCAACAAAGCAAGCAAAAAACCATCACACTGAAACGGGAGGCAGTTTTCATAATGACTCTTATAACCGGTTCTAAGGTGTACTATTCTGATGCACAATGTAATGCGAAGCTCACCTTTGCAGAGTGCAAAACATATAAAACATATTTCAATTCATCAAACTATTAAATGCCTATTACGTCAAAACACTAAATTACTAGATGAGTCGACAAATCTCGTTTTTATTTTGCGTAAAAGCAATGTGCAAGCTGCAATCCTCATCACTGTGACTTTCTGCAGTAGTGTCTTTGGCGCAGGACAAATAATCTAATTCGAGATGCATATGCTTTCGAGTCCTCTTCAACACATGCCATCGCATCCACATAACTTTTTTGTTAGCCAGTTTAATGGCAAGCAATTTTCTACCCGTCAGCTGTAGCCGGTGAGTCCGATGGGAGAGCATGCGGACTACAGTGAAACCAACATGGCCTTGTTGATCGAGAATAATGCTGTAACCGAAAACATATTTTTATCATAAATCATAAAAGTGCTTCCGAAAGCCTCAACAGTAACCCGGAACCTCTAAATTTTAAGGTTCTTTGCAGCAACTGAAGCTGGATTTCCCAAAACAACAATCCAATTGTGTGACATAACTTTACAGAGAAGACCCTATTCACCAATACATTACAGGATAGTACTAATTATGTCGTTACCTTTCTCCTCGGCTGAGTTTGGAAATGACTTGTGTGAGGAACGAGAGAGAGACATTGATGCGGGAGCTTTCTCGAAAACGTTCTCCCACACTGTCCCCACACTGCTCCGATCGTTCCGAGCCTGCCAGGTCCACCAGGTTCTGCGCAAAAAGAGCAAACAGATTTCAGGTTGTACGAGCCACTCAAGCAATGCAAATGGCTGCCTCGATCATCGCGTCTGCCAAGACCAAAACTAATATAGCGTCTGTGGAGATGATGAGAGAAAGGCAGGAATTCTATAAGGTTTCCATATAAATCACATCAAGTTTCCATTAAGTTTACTAAAGATAGACAAACAATAAATTTGAAGTTCAAGGTGAATAGAGATTTGGTTGAATAATTTCAAATCAAATTGTTTGAACAGTATAATTCTGTTTTTTGTTAAGAAGGGAGCATCTTTGTTATGACCCAACTAACTTGCACTTGAACCAGGCATGTGTGCACATCAATTTTCGTTTGAAGGGAAGTGGAAGCAACTTCGGACAATAGCAAGACTTGAATAGCAGTATGATGCAAGTCGTAACTGGTACAATATGTTCCGTCTTAAAAATTAGTATACTTTGTGCACATAAATTCTTACAACGCTCCTTCAGACTTTAGGCATAACTGAGTTGAAGGTAATATGCCCATTTAACCTTCTTTAACCTTCAAATTTTGCTTACCAGCAGTGAAATCTTTGCCTGGTAGGCTGGTTTATTGCTGCACTGCAGTGAAACCACCTTTACAAAAAGTTGAATGTGAGGTCATAGTATATACATATATTCGTTTACTTCGAATACTGCAAATATTCGCAGCGGCCAAATATTTGCCCATCCCTAAAGTTTACCATAAGCTATGCATTTCGTGCGAATACATTAACCCCCCCTGGTGTTTGTAACCGCTATCTGCGAAATAATAAAAAACAGAATGACTAGAAACTACCCAAAATCAAATCGAATGCAACCCTATGACCTATGCAACCTATGACAGCCCGGTACAGTCGAATCTTGATAATTCAAACTCGAAGGGGCCCAAAAATTTTGTTTGAATTAAAAGAAGTTCGAATTAATGAAAGCTAAATAAACAGAGGGCGCTCCATGCAGTGGGACATGAGCATTGAGCTATCAAACGAGGGTGAAGTTTAGAAAAACTTACATTTATTCACAAATCACAGGACATTGGTTATTCATTGAAGTAATTGGTGATGCGCATCTGCACACGTTTGCTTTGCAGCGAGTCAATTTCGCACGCAGCTTGCAAAGCATTTCTTCTGCGGCTTCAGCATTCTTTTGGTAAGAGAAGTTGCACGCGGAGACCAAGCGCTGCGCTCAACTTCTAAACACTTTCTAAACACTTCAGACACTTTCTAAAGACGACTACAACAACGACTGCTGAGTGCAGGAGCCTCCCGCTCTCCGCTACCCAGCCGCAGCATCATGGCCAGCACGTGACAAGAAAAGAGGAGCGTCTCCACACGTAGAGAAGCAGATCAATATTTGAGAGAAAACCACCACTTCACGGCAGCTTTTTTTTTGCTCTCTTCGTGCGCGTCGTTGAAAGAAGGGTTACGTGGCAGGGAAGGAAAAGGGGAAGCGTGGCACCGGTGTGTGAGAGACCCCCCCTGAAGGCGCAGAGCCATGCTCCCGGAAGGAGCAAGGGCTGCAGAAGATAGTGCCTTTTTCCTTTCTTTCAACCACACATTTATTCAACTTAGTGACGGCTTTTTTTTTTCTCTCTCTCTTCGCACGCGGCGTTGGAAGGTGGAGGGTCTTTACATGGCAGGGACGGAAAAGGGAGAAGCGTGACTCGGGTGCGCCGCAGATCGGTATTTGGAAGAGAGCAAACATTCCACCGCAGCCTTTTTTTTGCTTTTCATCTCCTTCGCCGGCAGAATTGAGGTGTCGCAGGTGCCGCCGCGGGATTGGGCGGGGGACTGAGAGCCTTTTGGGAGCGCGGTATGTTCGAATGAACCGTCGGAAGTGCTTGGGCGTTCAAATTACCTGGCGTTTTCGCCCATTGGAATATACATAGCTTTGACGGGACCTCATCGCGAGATCGAATTAAACGGAAGTTCAAATTAGGCGTGTTCGAAATAATGAGATTCGACTGTATTTTATCACAGAGCCACCCCTGTGTTTGAAACACCGTTACAAACTGATCCTATGCAGGCTTCCTGTTCTTCAACAGGTTAAAATGTGTAATAAAGCGTTCACAAAGAGTAAAATAACACGCTGGCAACACACAATGCGAATTTCGTAAGGAGTGGGTCGTTGAATGCTTCCAACCCATTTCAAAAGGATTTCAAAAGGTTCAGACGTAATTCTTCATTGTCATCAGCCGCAGTATCAACAAAGTGTGCACAATGTCTAGCAGATGTGTAGCACGTACCTCACTTCTCCAAAAAATGACAAATGTTAATAGAACAGTGCACACTTCCCGACTCCACAATAATTGACATGATTGGTAATGTAGGTACCATGCAAGTGTACTTGTAGTAGTTTCTACAAGAGTAGGCCAGTGTGAATATTCGAATAGTTCAAAATATGTGAATGAATAATGAAGTATTGGAATTCGCTTTGAACTAAATTTAAGTCATTGAAAATTTTGAATAATTCGAATCAAACAAATGCATGCGTATTAGTCCGCACGTGACAGCCTGTGGAGGTGGTTTCGCTGCAGTAGAGAGGTGCTAATCCGTGAAAGCACCCACTCAAAAGAAATCCACACTGTCGTGAAGCCCCACTTCAAGGTTAAATGAGGACATTAGCCTCACATCAATTCATTTTTGTAAGTTTGAAAGCTTGTTATACCGACTTATATGTTCAAAGTATAGGAAATTTTGTTTTACAGGCTATCACTTGTATTCTGCCAAAAATCTAATTCTGCTACTATTCAAAGTTGTTCGCGCTTTCTTTGATGCCAAAAATGGCATTTGCACAGGCCTTGTATCAATTTCTGAAAAAAATATTGTGCATGTCAGTTAGGTCATAACAAGTATGCCCATTTTTCTTTATAATATGTGATATATAAACTATTTGAATTCGATTAAAAATAATTTGACCAATATCGCCATTCGTTTCGAACCTAAATTTCACTATTTCACAAGCCTATACAAGAGAGTTTTAAAAATGTTCAAGAAAAGCCAGTCTTCGAGCTTTCGCTGTGCCTGTGCAGCACGTACTGCACAGGCCTGAAAATTTGTTACTTTTTTTGGGAGGATGAAGAAGGCTCACCAATTGGCCCACTGAGACGGCACCATCTGTTCCATCCCTGAGACTGCTTTCGATCACCTGCATTCAAACAAGAGAAAACTGTACTTGGAAAAAAGTTGGAAACCAAGACTCAGGTACACACACATCGAAACCCTTTTGATGCTTTTCTATTCGTTACATTCTTCCGACACTTCTACCTTGAAACACAAGTCTTAGTTACAACCTGCCTCAGGCAACTGTTACCACACGTTACTGATTCCTGGATCATGTCTTACTTTCCATTGGTCCCCGAGAAAATGGACTGACATGTGTAGTTCTCATCCTGAAGATTGGGATTCCCTGTCAAACTCTTAGGGGTCTCATCATTGCTCAGTGGAGGTTATGTGCAGGTGTATGGAGACTTCCTCTAATGTTTGAGTGTTCTGTGCAGGTTACGAGAATGCGTATGGTTGAGTCCATTCAGCAATTTCGACTAGCTTTACTGATAATGCTGGAATGAACAATGACAAATGTACAAAAAGTCGATGCGTGTCACAAGAAATCGGTACCAGCCAATGACCCTGGCAAGCGACATTTTTCTTGGCACCGATCCACTCATCAACGAGTTCAATCATTTGATCGACGGTGAAGAGAAAAATGTGCTCTTCACCGTCAGAATACGCGACAGTACTGATATGGGTCTACTTTTTCAGTCAATTGATATGTGGGGTTCAACGACCCAGAGCCAACATGACATTATGAGAGACACCGTAGCGGAGTGCTCCAGAAGTTTCGAACATCTGGGGTTCTTTGACATGCATCCAAATCTGAGCTCCAGGCCTACAGTGTTTTTGCCTCCATCGAAAATGCAGCCGCAGCAGCAGGAATTCGATCCCACGACCTGCGGGTCAGCATCCAAGAACCTTAGGCACTAGACCACCACGGCAGGGCTACTTCGTCAGTGGCTCACCTTTTTTGAAAATGAGACTTTCTGGTAGAATGACAAATTATTTGTTCTGTTCACCCTTGTGTGTCTTCTTGCAATTTCAGATCATAGTTTTTAGCAAGTTACTTGACAATTATTTCAGTCACATAAAGCAACAATTAACAACAACAGTAACAAAAAAAGGTTTGGTGGGGGTCACCTGTTGCAAAGCGAGGCTACAAAGATGTCCGTGTGAATTTCTCAAAAACGAGTGCATCCTAGTTAGCGAAAAAAAAATTGACGGGTCTTCCCAAAGTTAATCATGATGAGTGGGTACAGCTCTGGGAATCTTAAGAGCGAGTAACAGCATGTTAATCGTGTATTGCCCCATATTATGTAACAAGTGACAACGTCGCATGATGAGTCGCCAGCAAAGCTAGGTGCTAAGGCCCATAATGTCTACTTTGAAGTCGCCAACTAGTATAAAGAGTTTCTTCTTGTAGGTGCTTTATGTTTTGTCACAATTATGATTGTTCTTCATCTGCTGTAAACATTTTTTGTTTTAAATTCCCGTCAGCTGGTATGTGCCACAGGCAATTTACAGTTTATTTCCATCCATGAACGGCGTGAATAGATATTGGGAATTTCTGCGCGAGTGCACGTTGAAGTCGCCGACTAGTATCGTATTTAATACGATACTAGTCGGACTTCCGTGAACTTTTTTTTCATCGAAAGGTAACTGCAGACGATTACAAGTTAGATGGTCATCAGCCCAAGGTTAACGCCGTACGCTGACCTTTTCTGGGCTCCCGTTGAGTGACTAAGGCTCACGCTACGCCCGCAAGCTCTGCGTACGATATTCTGAAACTACTAACTGCTTGCAGCTTTTGTGTCTCAAATAAACCTTGCCTTGAGTTGAACCTGTGTTGTTATTGTTAAAGGGACACTAAAGTCAAACAAGAATTCTTGTCACAGTGAAAGCACAATGTATGACAACATCCAAAACGACAATATTATAAACAGCAGCCCCATACTTACTGAGAAATTAAGGTAAATGCACAAGAATACATGCGCCACAGTAGGACATTTTCAATATGTTCCCGATGACGTCAAACAAACTGCCTACAATTAATCACTTGTAATCGATCTAACCGCACTAAATAGAAAACCTTCCGTGCATCAAGAGATGCAATAAAATGCTGCTTGTTCATTTCTGTTTGATCCATAGAAAAAAAGAACAGCTGGACGTTATTATGGGAAATGGCCCGAGCGGTTTAAGAATTCAATTTTTGCGTGGTTAAGCTGGACAGGTCGTGCCATCTAGAGGCACCCAGTTGCACCAAAACACGTCTGCTATCTATGAGCCAATGGCAGGAAATTATTCAATGGCTGTTGTTGCTGCTGTGGTTTCCGTTGCTTGCGTTCTGCTGCTTTTTATCAGCGTTTCGTTAGCTTTTCATTAATGAAATCTGATCTCAGGCTACTTGATTTGCATTCTCGCTGACTTGTATTTTTATGTTCTATTTTTACAGCATTTTTTTTGTATTGCCCAAACCCTTTGCAACGCTTTTATGTGACCTGAGGGTAATCGAAATGAATAATCGAAATAAATCAAAATAAATAAATACTAGTGTCGGCGGCCGCGCAGTAAAGCCGGGCAATGTTGTTCATGGCAACAAGGTTGTGACATGTCCACTTCTTGAGGCGGGTGATTTGAAGTGCGCTTTCCCGATGCGGACCGTTAAAACGTGATTTTACTTCAAAATAAGACTTTCCTTGGCACAAAAGTGACACCATGTGATTCCTGGCCTGCTATTTCAACAATCAACGTCAACTTAATAGTTGCCTATAGTGTCCCTTTAAGGTAAGTATCGATAAGTACTTCTCAAAGCTTAGATTCTTAAATTTAGTTGCTAGCATGAAAATCCAGATTTACAGCCACTCCATTTTTTCTTGTTGTTTTTTTCCACTTCACAAATTTTCCTTGCATAATTCTTGCACTCCCCAACTTTTCATCGGTTTCCCGCAAAAAAAAAAGAAGTGCGAGAATAATGCAAATAAATACGGTATATAAGAAGTTTGTGCTTCTAGGCATTTTACATTGTTCTGTCAAAATTATGATTGGTGCTAGTCTGCTCTTAAATTTTTTTTTTTTTGTGACACACATCAGCGGCGAATCCCCCCCCCAAGACTGACGTGGATCAGACCTAAGGTACCTCGCCCTTAAAATTCATCCTGGTCCGCGAGTTTAACATGAGTGAACGTCTATCTGGGGCGGTGGATCCTCCAATTGCTAACCGGGAGGCTAAGAACAGGCATCAGCAGGGCAAACTAGTTGACAAATAAAAAACATGGACGCAGAATATGGCAAATCAAATCTGCGTTATCTGAGTGTGGTGGGAGAATTTTTACTAGGAATCGGCATAGATTTACTTGTAGCCTTGTGCTACAGCAGGTGGATGCCATTTCTCCTTTTCCTGTTGATCCTTTATCGAAATGAGAGGATTCTACAAATTGAATTGCCAAAACAAGCAAGCTACCAGTTTATGTGCAATGGCATTAGTAGCTTAGAAGTGTGGCGGTTTGGGCTAGTTGGTATAGTGGGAGAACAGAATGATAACAAAGGGGCAAGAAAAAGAGCGCTCGTCGTCTTCTTGTCCCTTTGTCGTCGTTCTGTTCTTTCGCTATAACAATCTGCATGAGTAGATAAAGTATATGTAAACCTTTAAATAAATTGATGGAACAATAATGAAATGAGAGTACAAGCACATGTTACTACAGATGTTACCTCTTTCACAGGGGTAAAAAAAACGAGTACACAAGTGCGGTGGACTTGTGATAATTATCTACGAGCTGCCATAACAATAGTCTATTGCAGGTGTTTATTGAGACGATATGCACTGCTATTACAGTGGGAACTAACATGCAATTTCAAAATCCTTACTCGTCACAGATACAAAGTTGGCACACTGGTTACCATTTCGGGGGGGTAAACTCACCATCCTGAATATCGCGTGCGACCGGGAACTTCGCTGGTTTGCTTCGGTGCTGGCCACGTGGCGGAGACCTGTGAAAGTTCAATGGGAAAATTTGAGCCGAACGCTTCGTCCTTTTCGTGCAAACTGGAAACTACACCAAAAAAGCTACCACAGATACAGTACAAACATTATAGCAGTAGAACACATATTATCCTCAATGCCACTAGAGCCTCACGCGTACTGGGCATGCAAAATGCATGAGGAAAGACTTACTTTCGCCGCCATTCATCACGGACATGATCTCTTCTTTAGAGCTAACTGCAACCTCTGTCAAGTCGGATATAACAGCTTGGCCATCCTACAAACAGAGAAAGCACTAAAATGTAAAACAAGCTTGAATAAAGTTGCACACATGCGCTCGGGGCCATTGAATTTGTGCTTGTAGGTAAAACCATTACTGTTTGAGGAACCACAACACAGTCACCAACCAAACTGCGATATCAAGTGAATTATAGAAGTAGAAGTTCTTTTGAGCCTGAACATCAGTGAAAAATGAACAGTAAAAAAAATATTTCAGAGCCTGAGGAGTTACCGGCTAGAAACTCCGTCTACTGCCGGCATCTAACGTTTGGCCATGGCATGTGTGAAATTTTCTTCATGCAGTGTAGTAGTCATCTACCCATGTTTGAGCAGCTACAAGTATCGTAGTTCAATTTTCGATGTCTGGCTGCAGAGCGCTGAAATAACTGTTGTGCGCTTAGCCGACCTCGAAACGAAATTGTGAGCCGTAATGCAGATGCTTGCACCGAAAGCAACATGTTACACCACTGCTGGTGAGTGTGCCAGTGTTGTCAGACTCTTGAGCCACGTTTGTGTCTATATAATTTAAATTAGGTGCTTAACCAAATGCACTGAAATTTCGCCAGCAATTTGTGAACACCCAAGGAACTAAGATTAACACGCATAACACAGTATATTCGAGAAAATTGGGTGTCATGGCCAATAGATTACCAAAGCTATCAACAACAGTAGTAATGGCAATAGCACTTTATAGTGACTTATTACAAATATGCATTTCATATGCTTTTGTTCTCAGAGGCCTTGTCAAGGAAAATAAAAAAAGCCGACATTTTTGTTGCAATAGACATTATGCACTAGCAATAAAGCAGAATGTAATAAGTCCTTGCTGTTATCATTACTCTGTGCACCTAGATTAAGTTGCTTTACAAGAAGTCACTACCAGCATTGTAGCTTCCATAGATATTGCTGGTTAAAACAGTGCCCCTATAAATGGCAAGACATTCTATAATGTTCATTTCATTTTGAACTGTGACCACTCACCAAATTTTCCCTAATCTGGAGATTTTTTTTCCCGTAGTCTTTGTCCAGAAGATCCAGGACGTTTTCATTGTAGATTTCAATGTACGAGATACGTACCAAGTACTCCCGTTCTGGCATCTGTGAACAGAAAATGCACATTCTGGTTACCAAACACTTTCAACAATAGCATCATTGTATTAGTATTTCCAAGACCATTTGCTCTATCAGAGCCATGGCAGTGTAATTGCTTGTACAGATGAGCTGGATCTAGCTAAACCTCCTAACATCACAAATGATATACAGAACAACGCCAGGCACTGGCTGCAAACTGACCACATTTATAAGAAATTTCAGCACCACTAAACAAGTTCTACTCGATTCATGCAACCTCCTTCCCCATTTCTTAAGGACACTTCGGTCCTTCCTTGGTAAAAAACAGCGAGCATTTGCGCAACTCAGTCGTACCGAATTGTTTATGCAGATTAAATAAAGGTTGTAGAATGATTGAAAACAAGCATGTGTACCAGAAGATTGACAAAGGTAACAAGAAAAACCGGCTTGACAGAGCAGACATACCACGATTCATTACCACAAATATTAACTGGCTAAATAGAAAGCAAATAACTACCTGAATATGATGTATTAACAGTTAAATAAAAACAAAAAATGTATTGCTCACTATATTGGTAAAATATTTCAAAAATGGAAGCAATGAGAAGCTATAGCCACTGAACATCATGGCAGGCGAATGATTTTCACGACAGCCCTGCGCATATACCTCACTTAAAATTTAGCATGGAAGCTCTTTCATATTAATGGTATCTGAAATTAAGCTTTTGGCGCAGTCTCAAAGTTTTGCTGTGAACTTGAGAGTCAGCGTTCATCGCATGGCCAAGCAACGAAAGCTCATTTTGAGAGACTCACATTTTGAATGATGTCAAAAATAGCATCAATGGTTAAGGGGATAAGTCCAGGCTGGCTGCTGCTTCCCATCATAGTGTGAGTCTTGCCAGAGGCCGTCTGACCAAACGCAAAGATGGTCCCTGAAAAAGCAATGAGCGAGTGCAAGTTCTAACACATACATTCAGATGCAGAAGCACATCTGCTGGTACATCAACAACTTCCCAATATCCCAGAGATATCCCAGGGACCGTATAAAAAGTATCGTGAGCAAATTTTTTTCCCTGCGTGATTTTACGTCACAGCATGCTCGCACTAAGCATGTGCTGTGGTGGAAGATGAGACGTCCAAGACTCGCCAAGCACCAGCCGGCTGCAAGCATTCATACAGGCTAGGGGGCGTTTTAACAGGGTTAAGCTAGCTATAATCTGTGCACCCTATCAAAATGTATCATCATCATCAACAGGCATGTGCCATGACAATTGGGTAAGTGCCAGTGCTCAACACTGGTTCACTAAAAATGAGGAAGGCAGCGGTTAGCCCAACCATTGCCTTTAGGCTGTAAGTGAACAGTCATGATGAACAACATGACGATAACTTCCTAACACTCTTACAGTTGCCACTTCGCACCAGCAGACTACATATTTACTATTCCCAAAACTAATATCCTCTTTCAAAGGACACCACCATGAAACACAAGGTGCTGTCAAGGCAGCCCATACACATACCTTCAAAGGAGTACAGACACGAAACAAATATTTTCGGCTTGTTGCTCTACATAAAAACACTGGTGATGAGAACTCAATACAGTGTTGGGAATGCATTGCACATATGTTTAACACCGCGGCCTTGGAAGAAAACTCCAGTGCATTTTCTACCATACTGAGATAATGCTGTTTTCAAATACAGTAGTATTGAAAGTCCTGCAACAGCTGGGGTGGTTAATTTTGCCCAGGCAATATTCAATAATTTTATTTAAGCAACGAATGAGTTAAAACAGAAACCCAAACAGGGAGCTGCTCCGTCCTTCATGGTGGATATTGGATGACATCACGAAATTCGCTACACCCTGTCACAGCTGGCCAAGGTGTAAACATTGCTAACATGCCTTTTCTGATGCGTGAAAGGCAAGTTTGCAATGTCAGCCGATGCGGAATCAAGCTGTGCCAACTCGTCTGAACTTACCAGTGACAAGTTCAGCGATAATTGCAGCTACCATCTGAGTGTGGAAGCATCCGACATAAATATTATAAAATTTGATGTCAAGGATACCTAATACTCTGTATGGCACTGACAAAACTGAACTGTGCTCCTGTCATCGCCACCTCAGAGAAGAAAGCACGTGCTGCATTAGTCTGCCGGCAAAGACAGGGTTTTTGAAAAAGAGTAGGCACTTACATCACATCCAAAGGGTGACCCGCATCTACACGCGAGAGTCCAGAATCTAATATAAAATTTAAAATTTGTTTTCTAAAAAACTGAAAGACTTATGGTTGTATAATTTGGCACATATCACCACGGTACCGACGAGAACACATGTTCAAAGTTTTACTGAAATTGGTGAATATAAAAAACACCTCAGAGTTCCTCTTGAGGCACTTTCGGTATCAAGAAGGTAGCTTGTAGTAATGTGTCAACACAAGTCTGGCACCATGGAAGGCTGCAACTCGTGAAAAAGCACTAGCACCAGCTCAGTCATTTGTGGTCAGTTGTGCCTGGTTCACATTAAAAACCATAAGAAAAATTTGGTCCAGTGAGTTCGACAGTGATTTCTACGATTTTGGCTGCATGCAGGGCTCAGACTTCGAAAACCCAGTGGACTGTGTTGGCTCAACCTGATAATGTCCATTGCAGTGGGAGTGGCTTACAGATGCTGGGTGACAAACTTTAAAATGAGAGCAAAATATCTTACACATGTCAGGTTCTAGTGTGTTCTGGTGCGTGGAGCGTGGATAGTGAATATCACAAAACCAAGGAATGTCAATTTTGGGGCGCATCAAAATCATGTTGGTACTTATTTAGGAACGCAATTTGCCTCCAAGTCGTGGAAAACGTGCTGGCAGAGGTGTATCAACGCTCAGGGCATCCACTATGACGACTTTTGAGGCACTGTCAGGGGGTGGAAACTTCGTATATTTCCCATGTGTTTGCTCTCGGCAGCACCGCATTTACCACTGGCAGTTGCCGGGCATCCAACTAGAGATAAATCACGAACAGAAATTTTCTTTCATGACGTCACTGGTAAGATTCCCAAATAGAGGGAAAGGACGAAAGATTGAGAGGAGGAGCGTTGTCACGGAAGCGCTCCTTTCCCGCTTCGATGCAAGCGAAATACCCTCGTGCCTTCTTTCAGGTCCACTGGCCGCTTGGGAGATGCAGCTATTCGTAAAATTTTGTTTACCTTCTTTTGCTCAACTTTTTCGTTCTCGTTTTCTGAAGAGGTGAAAGTTAAGCTGACTGATTTCCCAGTAAGACGAAACTCGATCGGCTCAAGTAAAATGAACTCTTTGTTGCACACTTTGTATTAAAAAAACATACACGTAGTGCGAAAGTGTCATTCTATAAAGACAGCTTTAACTTACAACTGATATATGGACATAATGAGCAAAGGTTGAATCCAGAATATCTGAATTAACGCGAAAATTAACAATTGCGAGTAGGACACTTCATATTTGACTTAATCATGTTTGCTATGACGGCGCGCATAGTTTTCTTACAGAACTTGAGTACCAAACGAGATTGAAGTTCAGAATCAAGAAGAGGCTTGAAGCGATCGGAAGTTTTTCCAGAAAGAGTGCCGCTGGAAACAGTGTTTTGGCGATATTGACTTGTCCTCGTCAGGGCAACAGTGTTGCCTTGAGAAAGAGAAGTTTCTTTTTCAAAACATTGGCTCCATCGACGTAATCTCTAATAATGTTTAGAAGAATTTAGCCCAAAATGTCTATTTGAGTAACACTATTAGAGACTCACAAAATTTCAAACCGCTGCTACAAGAGTGTCATGAGCAGGAAGCAGCCTATAGTTACTTGACATCATTTGAACTACATGCTAAAAGTAAAAGAAACGAACTATGAAGCTGAGCCAACTCGAATTCAAGTCTTTCAATAAACGCATTTTCCCGACAGGAACTTGGCTGTCGTCTTCACCAATTAGTGAAGCAACATTGCAATTCTGTCAGTTCAGTCAGGCTTGCAGAGAACTGGTTTTAATCATATGTACTCATGCAAAATCAGTACCTACTTAACTAGTGGGCCCAAATTCTAGTGCTCACCCGTTGCCTTTAGGAAACGCTGAAAAACCTTTGCCGAACTAGAAATCCCCAGGTCGGCACACCGCAGAGCAGCGGAAAACATGTGTTGCCCAATTAATCCATCTTCGACGTATGCATGGTTGACTTGTTCGGCGTAGCCCACTGCGGCTTTCGTTATCTGCCCCCCACAACTTGCTGTCTTTGTCCACTTTATCTTTGCTGTAGTTGACACGACAACCAAGCGTGATAACTGAGCGCGATCCAACTTCTAGTATCACTGAGCGAGGGGCGAGGAGGAGCGGAGGCAAGCGCTATGAACGCCAGTCAATCACTTCTCGCTTCAATCACTTCCCACGCTTCGTAGTGCGAGAAGTGATTGATGTGCTTTTGTAGCGCTTGCATTTTGTGAATTTTAAATCAGGCGATCGCCTGATTTAAAATTCACAAAATAAGGAATAAGGAAAAACCCATAACCAAAAGAGATGTTTTTCACAAGGATATCGAATTTTTTTTATTTGCAAAAACTTATGAAAGCCAATAAATGCGAACATTCACATCAACCTCACTCCGTTCAACCGGATGTTAGGATGACCGGCAACCACTACGAGCCTGCATGTTCCTTGAAACCGAAACTAGCGCCCAGTTTCTGGGGCCTGGCACTGTAGCAATAACTTCATAAAAGTATTTTTCCAAAGATTTTCCGAATACCTCTTAAACCCTGTATACAGCGAGATGAGCCAGCAAGTCATGTAGGAAAGCTTGAAATTTAGTTTCAAAAGTTATGCAAGGCGTAGTTTGTACGTTGGAACCAAATTTTTACATTTCGATAGCACAAACCTAGACTGAACATTAAAAAAAACTACTTTTCACCGATGTAAGTGCAATGTAATTGATGCCGCCCATCTTCCACCCCTAATCCTTCCATGACTTCTCTTCAAAAAGCGCTGCCTATGAGAAAATAAACATGCCACAGGAAAGGCCCTCCTGGTTCACACTACGCATTGTGGGTCTCACCATTGAAGCCAAGCATGACGGACTCCACAATTGGATGGCAGTACTGTTGGTAGACCTGAAGATTGGTGCTGTTGGAGTCAAAAATATGGTCTGTTGATTGGCAGGGGGGAAAAACATAAAAGTTGCAAATTAACTCAAGCTATGACAAAATTTCTTCTCCAGGTATGAACACTAATGCACACTGACCAAATTTTCTAAATGCTCATTTCAATTTCATTCCAACAGACTTCGAGAGATGAGTAGACTAAAAGCAAACTTGCTCTCCCGGAAAGGGCTATGCTATGGCTTAAAGATTAGTCAACGCAAACTTTTGAATGAATCAAGCATACTATTACCATGCTGTGACACAAGCAGAGCAGCCTCTGCACTGGCAAAGACAAGTATTTTTGCTCAAACACTGGCTCCAGCAAACATCCCGGCGCAACGACTTTTTATCACGTTAAGCTTCCATCTTGTTTTCACTTGAAACAAGCATGTGCAGAAACAAGTGCGACTTGTGAACAAAAAAAATGCCCCTACACAAATAAAACATGCAGGCCTGCACAAGTTTCTGTACTAAAACTGTAACAAAAAAGAGAAAAAAAAGGAGAAAACCAACCGAATGTGTGAAACGTGTTGATTTTTCCAGACTCCATATATATTGTATTGTCCCGTGTCTTCCAGATGGGCTTCTCGCCATTCTTGATCTCCCTGGAAGAGAAAAAGTTTATGGGCAAGACAAGCAAGTGCATTATGAAAGTGTAAGACTTTAGAATAATGATCCCGCAGTTTTATTCAATGTATTCACATCTTGTCTGCCCGATTTGACCATACACAGTAGTCCAGATTTGGGAGATTGAACTACGCTTGCCTCTTTTTTGCTTGAGGCATTTATCATATGGTTCATGTATGATTGGCTATCAAACCTTTGAAGTTCTACGCTATTAGAGAAGAAACAGAGCAATTTTGTAATTTGATTTTGCTGTACAGTCGAAGGTTAAAAACTATAACACTCCGCATTTTTTTTTATGTTGCATTATTTTTGCGAGTACACGTTCGCCCGAAATTTCACATCTATTTTCTGTGTTGAACTTCTTGCTCTGTTGCATCTCATTTTTACTCCTTTAACCATGAGCACCACGTGATACTACATACGAGGTCTGTTAGAAAAGTATTCGACCTTTGGTGAAAGAAAAAAAAAAAAAACTGCCATGATTGGAGCGTTGAAAACCTAATCTCCCTCAAAGCAGTCCCCTTGGGACTCCACACACTTCTCCAAGTGGTGCTGCCAATGTTGGAAGCATTCTGAGAAGGCCTCTTTTGGAATGGAGTTTAGCTCAGCTGTCAATGCAGCCATAATGTAATTTCTTGTCTGAAATCGTTCTCCTTTAAATGTCCTCTTGAATTCGGCAAACAGTCAGAAGTCGCAGGGAGCCATATCAGGAGAGTAAGGAGCCTGTTGAACTACAGGAGTGGCTTTCTGCCAAAATAGTCTGAGCCAAGTGTGAGGAACGTGCAGGAGCATTGTCCTCATGGATGCACGAGTTTTTTGTTAGCCAATACCTCAGGTCTCTTGTGCCACACAGCATCAAGTAAGCAATGAAGGATATGCTTGCAGTAAGTACTCTTTGGTGATTGTTTGACCCTGGGGTGCATACTCACGGTGTACCACCCCGCGGGAGTCAAAGGAAGCACTCAGCATCACTTTAACATTGCAGAACATTTGGCGGGCTTTCTTTGGTCTTGACGTGGAACGCTTCATTGGGACGACTGGGATTTGGTTCCCGGGTCGTACCCATACACCCAAGTGATAACGGTGTTTATGAAATTAGGATCACTGCTTGTGAAATCCAGCGTGCCCTATGAGACAGACACGAAGTTGCTTTTGCTCCACCATGAGCAGTTCTGGCACAAATTTCACCCACCTTTTCTGCAATTTCCCGGATAGTCGCACGACGGTCTCGCATCACCACAGTGTTCACTTCGGCAATGACCCGGCCATTTCGCCATGTAGATGGTGGACTGAAGCGTGGCTCGCTTTCCACCGTCGTGCAGTCATCATTAACCCAGTAATAGCACTCCTTAATCTGTGTGTGGCGCATTGAGCCGTCACCAAAGGCAGTCTTGATTGTCCCTATGATTCCCAATTGGCTCTAGCCCAGTTTCTAGCAAAACTTGACGCAGTAGCGCTGCTCCAGTCACTTCGTCATTTTTCTTGCAATTAACCGACGAGAGCACTGCACACTACCTCACTCAAACGCTGCATCTCAGTGACCGATGCTATTGGCAGGCGGAAAAAAATTTCCCGCATGAGCGCGAAGGTTCAGAGTCGGCTGATGCAAGCTACAAATCCATCAGGTGCTTGGAAAAAAATAAGGTCGGATACTTTTCTAACAGACCTCGTACGAAATACAGTGTGCGTTTCATGAATTTTATAAACACAATCTCAGCCAGATGGTGTACGTGCACCATGCCTCAAGCACTCCTGTGGCAGAAACTAGTTCATCGCGGCAATGTCATGTTTTATGTTTGCACTGCACGTGCTGTATTACAACACGTGCACTAGATGTATGGAGATGGCCGCACAAATGCGCTACTGTAGAAGAAGCCCGTGTCACTGCACGTGCTTCTGTGCAAATACGAGCACGACGCTGAATACGAGGGGATCTTGAACAACAATACCAATTGAATGAAAATTGGTGTAGCAAACTGAAGACGTAAATACGTGCACAACGCGTGAGTGACACAGAGACGAAGCGTGTTGCTGAGAGTCTCAGTACCAACTAACTTTATTGTTTGTTCAACTTCGCAGACTTGGGGACCGGTTCCCCTTTCCTCTGCTTCTCCACACCTTCGTTGGAAGACGGAGGGAAAGGAATGTCTGTCTACGACATGCTGGCAGCGCCATCAGCTGTGCTGTGATGCACTTACAGAGTTTACCACACGTCTTGGATAGCTAGTTTAAATAACCTAGTTTAATGAGAGGCATATGTACTGTTTATTTTGGCTCATATCTTACATTAGCGCACCAAGACTATTGTCTTCTTTTTTTTACATGAACACTAAACTGTATACAACTATTACTGCAAGTTCTTCAAATGGCTTAGGATAAACTACACAGTTAGCAATAACATGAACACAATGATCAGTTGGCGAACTGCTACGACAGTCCTTCTGTCATGAAGTGGCCTCATGGACTTGCACAAGTACAATTCCCAAAAAGCACTGAAAAGATCAGGCAGCTTTAGCCATTGCAAAATGAGCTATCACAAGTATTCTTTAAGAACAATATTGCAATGTGCACGCAAACACAACGGCTTTTGTTTTCATCTGGAGCTTAACATGCATCTTCCTGAAAGTATCCAATCAATGTTTCCATATGTACAAAGTCTACAAACAGTGCCCGAAATGGTTCAGCAGTTTCACTGCAGCTAGAGAGTCATTTGTAGCATAACTTATGCTCCAACAGTGACAATAGGTCAGCCTTTTTTCAAGCCATGCTTTTTCTATTCAACTTCGTCTCTAGGCACAACAAGTGCCACATTTCACACATGCGGAACAAGCTCCACAGTTCACAATAGTGTGGCGGCACATGGTATATCACACATGCCACACTTCACAATTGTCCGGTTGATCTCTGCCACGACTCCCCCTCCCCCCCCCCCCTTAGCCGAGAAGCCAGTTAGATCAGTTGAATGAGTGACGTCACAAAACCAAGCTGCTCCCGAAATGCAGGGACGGCTCCCTGATTTTGTGTGCGTGTTCTTTAGCGGCAAACTATGCTTTCAACGCAACACACGTTAGCAGTCCACAAGCAACGACAAAGTCCAGTGGTCTTTCAGAGTCACAATAGGGCTTTTGTGACCTTATGCAAGCCACAACGCACATGCTAAGGTTCCTGAATCTTGTGCTCCCAGAGTGGTCTCATCCAAGCGGCGCAGTCTAGCTTTCCGAGCACATGGCTGAATTTCGAATTACGGCCATTCTGTGGCTCAGACTCCAGCAACAGTTACGAGAGAGGGTGCACATACGCCAGCAGCCCCAATTTCTAAGCATTTACTATCATAAGCCAGGGTTTCAAGCAGAATTTTTTTAAGAGAGAGGGCACTTTATTCATCTAAAGTGGGGACCAGGCTGGCAAATGGTCATTTTTGCGCTAAGTATAAATGACGAAAAAAAAATAAAAATTCGGGGGTCACGGGCCTGGAGTCCCACCCACTGGCTATGACACTGTGACCTCAGCCAAACGTTGATATGTGGAGTTTAACGTTCCAAAACCACCATATGATTATGAGAGACAGCGAAGTTGAGGGCTCCGGAAATTTTGACCACCTGGGGTTGTTTAACGTGCACCCAAATCTTAACAAACAGGCCTACAGCATTTCCGCCTCCATCGGAAATGCAGCCGACATTCGATCCCGCGACCTAAGCCGAACATGACTGCCAAACGTCGACCACATCAATTAATTTCCTGTGCCTCCGTTACTGTGCCTCCGTCACAGTCGTAGTTACCAACTTTTTACCTGCAGATGCAGCTATCGTGCCGACAGGGCAAGGTTCGCTTACAACTCGGTGCCGTGGTTGACAGTTATGCTGCGAAGTCGATGCAGTTCCAGCGTTCATTATTTACGTAGCACGACGTGCAATTTTCAAGTAGCACAATGGAAGTGACAGACGCAACGACGGCTCGTACAGCAAGCAGTGAACAATTGGTCGAAACCTTAGCGTGAGCACGGCGGCAAGGTTCGCTAGGCACCAACTCACCTTTCAATCGGCGGCCTGACCCTCACTGCCACCTTGATGTTCGACATCTTATTGGCACTTCAGTTCCCGGCGGTGGAGTCAATAAAAGACCACGCACTAAGGAAAACGGGCTTTCCAGGTTAGGACATCCGAACGAAAAGCAGCGACGCCGTTCGGATGTGCACAGCTTCCGACCACGGCTACTAGCTCCGACCGTTTGAAAGAGGGGCAGCAAATGACGTCAGAGCAGCTCCGAAGAAAGCAACACATTTTACGTTTATTCATTCACATAATAAACAAATACAATTATTAAGCCTAATACATTTTTAGTTTACCTAAAAACAATTTTAGTGTCTTATAGATAATAACTTGAATGTTAACATTTGTTTTATTTTTATGCAATGTCTTCTTTAGAAAGATGCCTGCGACCATAGAGTTTTCCACAATATTTACTAGAGGGAACTCTGGCGCTAGTGTCTATGGAAGCTGCAACACACGGCGCTCAAGGAGGATACATAAAACTTACTGGAGTGGAAGCCGCCTATGCGCCGCTATAGTGTTCTAGAATAATTTTAGCGCCGCTACGGGAGAGAGTGAAGCCGTGCCGAGTGTGCGGTGGCCATGTTGCCAGTGGCAGAAAAGAGCCGAGCGCTCCAAATTTATGCTTCATCGCGCTGCGGGTGAAGTGACTCGTGTGTTTATAAAGCAACGAAAACAAGTAATTCTGGTTGTAAATGTTTATTGCGACTTGTACGCAGCCAAGTGGGATGTAGAGAACTCAATTAAAGTGCATATGCATCAAATAGCGATGCCTAAAGCAAACACATCATCGAAAACATATGTGCCCTACTGTTGGTTGAAAACTATTTCCCTTGTCAAAAGTGGTCCCATTTTACTTTTGACTGATTCTCGGTTTTTTTTTTCTTCGTCATGTGTTGTATCCTCACTTTTACGTATTGTTCGGCGATCTGCCTGCACAAACTGTAAACCTGATTATCAAGCGTATCAAAGTCTAGGACGTGCTGCTCTAGTTTGTGGAACCAGTTTTTCTCGGAGGAAGCTCATAGAACTTTCACGATGAGGTGTTTTGCTCTCGACTTCACCGTTGTGATGGAATCACATTCAGCCTGTAGCCGCCTCAGTCCTCGACTTCTTTACAGAGGCTATCTCGCGACGGTGAAACAAGACCACCTCACCTCTTACATTTAATTAAAGGTGTCAGCTCATCTGAGTGCATGCCTGCTATGCACTCTTCACAGGTAGTTGCAGTTCGACCTTTAGAACAATGAAGCCTCCTATCATATGGCACCACGGAACCGACAAAAGCAGAAAAACTTTCGGGCTAGTCAATGCGATACGTATTGTTGTGGTCATCGGGCCGCAGGACTGGGGCCTTGCGCATGTCAGTGAGATTGCTTCTTGCATCTACCATGGCTGCAGGAGTCGTTGCATTCAATACGGAGAGAACATCTTGGAAGCAGTGTCCAAAACTTGAAGACGTGACTTCCGTCTAAACCAATAGACGCTTGTATACAGCCATAAACTGCGAAGCTGTTGGGTTGTTGTTATGGCCGCCTCATCCACATATTGATTCAAAGAAGTTTTTGGCATAGTCTTGACTGAGTTTGTGTGTCAGTAAGTATTTCAGCTGACCCTGGCTGACAAGTCTGTCAAACATTCTTTCCATGCTTGCCATGCGCATCCAAAAACCAATGAATCCGTTTTTTTTTTTCAGTCTTTCTGTCACTGCCGGATCTCTCAGCCCGTTTATGTACGCTCGAGTCTCCGCAAAAAAAAAAAAAAAAAAAAAAAAAACGGATTCCAGAATGCTTCATTCCCCTTCCGAAGGGGCGCTTTGTACGACCTTGCCAGCGGGTTCCTGGAGTTTAAAATGTCAAACAAGCGATCAAAAGTTCTAATAAACGTAGATCTTGTGCTGGCACCCTTGAATTGCGGCAGCTTTAGCTTTTGTTCGCATAAGTCCAAAGCGTCGGCAACTGAGGCACTCGATCAGTTGTACAGCATATAATACCTTCATTTTTTGCTTTTCCCATTGGACATGGACTTTCGTAAGTTTGTTTCCGAGCCACAACCCTTCTTCACGTTGAAGTGCCTTCAATGCCACTTCATAGCCCCAACACTGTCGAAATTTGGGCTTGTTGGTGCATTGTGACGACTGAAAATAGCGCTAAGAAACGAGGACACAAGAAGAGGACACACAGCACAGGCGCTAACTTCCAACATAATGTTTATTACCACCGCACGCTCGCCAATATCACAAAAAAAACATCACATGACATGAAAGATGCGCACAAAAAATTAATTTCTTAGAAAATACAATTCTTTATCACTAAGCGCAAGAGAGGGAGTGCTGACGCACTTAGACCCCAGTGAAGCGATAGCCTCAGCCTCAATAATCTCTCTAGTAAGCTTATCAAACATTCCCTTGATAACTGTGCATGCATTGAATATCGGCGCGCAGCCGCAGGATTTACAATGTATGGCCAACCAACTCCCCTGGCAGTTTTTCACATTATTACAATGTTCTCTTAATCGATCATTAAGGCAACGGCCCGTCTGTCCAATGTACTCTTTACCACAAGAAAGCGGGATACGATAAACAACGCATATGATGCAGGGAACATAAACAGTTCGATGCTTCTTACTACACCCTTTGGGTTTTTCGTCACGGTTATGAAGGCCACAAAGGCTGACCAACTTCTTGGGAGCCGAAAAGACAACCCTAACTTCAGAGCGCTTAGCTAATTTCTTTAGGTTGTGCGATATCTTGTGAAAGTATGGTATGACGACTAGGTGCTTCGGTTTCTCGGCATCACGACTCGCTGCACATCCTGGGTTGCGAAGCGTACGAAGCAAGCCTTCTGCAACTGAAGTTTGGACGTGCATAGGATAACCTGCTTTCAACAAACAGTCTGACTGATTATGAAAACTATTGGCGATTTCGTGCCCACAAGATTTGCTTAAAGCATGACGAAAACAATGACTGATGATGCCTCTTTTCACTAGTTTGGAGTGAGCTGATTGGTAAGGAAGGACCGGTTTGTTCGTACGTGGTTGGTATGCCCAACATATGCGGTTAGGATGAAAGGTGAAGAGGACATCGAGGAATTTTATGGCATTGCTCTCAGGCAGTTCGTGTGTGAGAGTCAAGGGTTTAAAACACTCCGAAAAATGTGAAATTATTTTTGCCAAACCTGCCTCGTCCGCTACCGTGTCATTAGTTAATAAAATAAGATAGTCATCGACATACCGGAACACTTTTTTTATCTTCAAATTATCAAGATGTAGGTAAATCGATCTGTCAATTCTACTTAAAAATATGTCGCTTAAAATGGGCGCAATGCAAGACCCGATACAGATTCCGTCATTTTGAATAAAAGGCTTGTCATCCCATGAAATGTAGGTCGTCTTGAGATAAAATGATAAAAGTTCTAAAAACCGACTTACAGGAACACCACACTCGGTTTGAAATCTAACAGAGCCAAACAAATCTATGCACTCTTCAACCGCAGGAAGCAACTGATCATGGGGAATAGAATAATACAAATCAGTCACGTCAACTGAAAAACAATAAACATGCTCATCAACACAAGTTTTCACATAATCTATGACTTGATCAGAACTTTTTACAATGAAAGGATCATCAACGTCAAGCAGGTTCAACTGTTCTTGCAAAAAAGTAGCAATCGATTTCTGCCAAGTATCACATTGTGAAACAATTACCCTAAAAGGCATATTGCTCTTGTGAGTCTTTGCATTAAAAAACACTTTTAAAAAGTCATGCTTACTATTTGTGATGCCACCGACAACTCGAGGGAGGTCAAGGTCTTTGCATAGCTTTCTTGCTTCCGATTTAACTTTTTCAATGCGGACGTCCTCGCGAGAGGAGAAAACAGAGCTTACAGCAGTGTGAGCCTTAGAACCAAACAGTCCCAGAGTCAGGATGGCGAAGCCTCCTTCCTTATCAGCGGGAAGGACGGTAAGAGAGTGCTCCTTGAGAAAAGCCTCAACTCTCCTGAGAGGAATTTTGGATCCAGCTGGTCTGTAGCGCGAAACGGTGTCGACGCCTTCTGAGACGGAGTGTGGTTGCTCTTGTTCTAGCCATGGTGCGACAAGTTTCGCGCCATGGCTAGAAGTTCCGGTGGAGACGTCTTTGGTTCCACCGCAAACTTGGGCCCGAGGCTTAAAGTCCGGAGGATGTCGGGAGGCACGGTGATCTGCTCAGGCACGTGAACTGTCGGCTTTTGATCGGTTACTTTTTTGGCGACGCCTGTGTGTAGCACCGGCAATTGTCGTGCCCAGAGGAATTCCGTGCTTTGGTCGGCGAGGCGCTGAAATTGTCGAAGCTGCTGCATGGCCACAGTATCTTCGAGACGATCAAAAAGAAGGGCAGACAAGTATTGTTTATGTGGACGTGCTTGTCTATACCATTCTGCCTTCAAGATTTTGCACACCCTAAGCCCATGACCAACTGAGGGGGCGACGTTGCCGAAGAGGCGCTTGACTTCCTGAGGCAAAATGCTGTGGCGAATGCAAAAAGCAAGGGAACGAGCTTGACAGGATGCAAAAGCGATGTAGGCATATTTTGGGCTTACCAGCCACGTATGAACAAACCGGTCCTTCCTTACCAGTCAGCTCACTCCAAACTAGTGAAAAGAGGCATCATCAGTCATTGTTTTCGTCATGCTTTAAGCAAATCTTGTGGGCACGAAATCGCCAATAGTTTTCATAATCAGTCAGACTGTTTGTTGAAAGCAGGTTATCCTATGCACGTCCAAACTTCAGTTGCAGAAGGCTTGCTTCGTACGCTTCGCAACCCAGGATGTGCAGCGAGTCGTGATGCCGAGAAACCGAAGCACCTAGTCGCCATACCATACTTTCACAAGATATCGCACAACCTAAAGAAATTAGCTAAGCACTCTGAAGTTAGGGTTGTCTTTTCGGCTCCCAAGAAGTTGGTCAGCCTTTGTGGCCTTCATAACCGTGACGAAAAACCCAAAGGGTGTAGTAAGAAGCATCGAACTGTTTATGTTCCCTGCATCATATGCGTTGTTTATCGTATCCCGCTTTCTTGTGGTAAAGAGTACATCGGACAGACGGACCGTTGCCTTAATGATCGATTAAGAGAACATTGTAATAATGCGAAAAACGGCCAGGGGAGTTGGTTGGCCATACATTGTAAATC